TTACTAAGCCGTTGCCACGAGATTATTAAGTGGTGCGCACGAGATACTATTTTGCACCAATTAATTATCTCGTGGCCACGACTTAGTAACTCGTGGCCATTACATATTATATAGTGCGCACCACTTAATCCTCCCGTAGTCAGGACTTAGTAACTTGTGGTCATTGACAGTATCTCGTGTGCACCACTTAATTATCTCGTGGCCACGACTTAGTAACTCTCGGCCACGACGTAGTATCTCGTTCGCACCACTTAATTATCTCTATGTCACGACTCGTGCGCACGAGATTAATAAAACGCACAAATGTCACCCTTGTGCCACCGTACATTAATGAATACTAGTATTTGTATAATATTTAAAAAAAAAACATGAAATATTGCTTACATTAAGTACATTATAAGTAATATAACTTTCAACTATATGTTTACAGTTACTAACGAAACAAGCTCGGGTGAAGAAATGCTTTGTGAAGTGCATAAAACACTAAATGGACCTTGTAAGGAAAATCAGAAGTGTTCTATAGTGAACGGAAACCCCTCCTGTGTGTAAGTGTGCAATGTTAAATTCTGTGGTTCTATATGGTATTAGACGGCTGTGATCTTTAATAAGAGCATGATAGTTTCTTGTATCGTATATCATATAAATCACAAACTTATATCATTAATACTTTGTACATCGTCCTCTGACAAATAGTCTTTTTAGATTAATAAGGTTCTTGACACTTAAAATATAAGGATATAAACAGGTTTTGAAAGATTGTTTTCTTTTTTAGGTCAACTAAAGGAGATGACAAAAGTAAGTTATCATATTTGCAAATAACCTTAATTCACAAATAAAAACATACAAAACATGATTGCTAGACATTCCCTTGAAAGATTGAACGTAAAGTATACCCCGGTAAGCACTTCAAGCTAAATTGCATCCATCAAAGATTAATAAAGGAAATATAATGTATTGCATTTTAAAAAAGTGTTGATTTTACTAGCAATACCTTCTCACTTTTGAAGCAACGCGGATGTGATCTAAATGTTAAAGCGGAAATAAAACTAAGACCATGTAGATCTATATTTCTCTATTCAAATATTATATCTCCAAAAAAAATGTAGAAAGGTACACCGCATCCCTGGCCATATCTATCTCATTCATAATGTTTTATCCCGTATATTCCGTCAGTAAGTTACTTATAGTCTAAAATGTATCTAGCATGTAAGTTAAAAATTATGTGCCTATTTCATTAAAAGGCATTTTACATTTTCAGTTAATATATGAAATTTTGCAAAGGGGTATTGTCAGATATCTTGGTATATTCACTTACCATTGTAAGGGGAAAAAATAAGCTTATTATAAAGGAGATTGGTTGCATTAAATTTTTTTAATTTCATTTCTTTACAGTTGGTTTGACACTTGTGATTGTTGTTGTTGCTTGTTCGATATGTGTACCAATCATCATCATGGCAATCACCTGTTTAGCTATACGGAAATTACGCATCAAAGACAAACATCCGAGACAGTTTCATAGCAAAACAACAGACTCAGCAGGGTAATGTTGTTTTGTCATTTTCTGTTATCATATTGTTAGGTAGATATATTGCATAAGTTTGGATTGTACCAGTTAATAATTGACATGATTTCTAAATTATACAAGTTATGAATTGCTTTAAAAGAGTGCTTGTATATTAGAAATGTGTTTTGTGTAAAGAAATAATATATATATATATATTCGTATATATTGACGTTTTAATTCATCGCAAGTCGGCATCATACATGTCTTTCAATTATATGCCTTGAGGGCTATAGGGAATGAATGTTGAATCGGCATCAGCTACAATTATGTCTACGATTCTTTTCTTCTGACAACTCTACTAAGCTATTATCAATAATTATTTCTAAAGATAATTCTGCTTCCGGCTCCTCGACATGTACTACTGTCTATAACCAATTTTTATAAATTTACTGTTGTCATAGAAGGAATTTTGCTTTAACTATTTCCATTAGCCGATAGCTGCAAAATAATGCAGTTAGTTTCAAAATTCGAACATTATAGAAATAGAACACCATGTTTTGCCATTTTATAAAAATAAACTTAATAAAAATTATATTTCCAGGTTTGAGAGATTACCTTACTGGACAAATCCTAAACTAACAGGTTCCTTCAGGAGCCAACTAAGTGGACGATCTGTCACATCTGACAGTTATTTTCCTGACTACTCAAGAAATACATATGCTTAAAACTGTTCAAGTTGTTGAAATATAAATTTTGCTATACAAGAATATACCTACACTTATACGACACTTTATATGACTATTTATTTCACATTTGACAAGAAAAAACATCAGTTTTACACAAAAGCAATATTCTATTAATGTTGTTGTTCAACAATTATTGTCTTTCCAGTGTTTTTGTTGTGTAGTTATTGAACAAACATTTAATGTCTACTTTATATTACGCCCATATCTCAGCTAATAAAAACAATGTTTGATAAAAACGCTCTTATTAATCGAAACAATACGTTGTAGCATACTATTTGCATGTTTTCTTTTGCTTTGTATATATGTTTTGTAGCTTTTTATGCTGTATTTTCTGTTTTTAAATGTATGAATGACAAAACCCATGAACGTAATCCAACTTAAGACTTGTGTTTAAGGACTACTGTAGACATTTTTATCATCATCATCATCAGTCGACAAATTGAGCTGTTACACTAACATTACTGAAGATGAAATTCCCTTACAAAAATGAAATTAGAAAACATACAAGTTTCGTTAACCAATATCTAGTTAGGTGCACATTTAAATAAACTTGTCATGATATATAAATGTCTTTTCTTACCTGTTACATTTGAATATATTTATGTTCTGCTTTTATATATTTGTTTTTCAAGATTGTGTTTCGTTTTATTTTCATAAGACAAAAAAGACGCTATTTTTATAGCATGATGGATTGATTTTCTTCACATGAATGATATACATGTTATTATTAAAATAATTGCGTTTGTCTGTCATTATGTTGTTACTGCGACACATCCCCTTAAAAAACAGTTCACATTTAAAAAAATAATCAAATTTGTTTGAGAATATATTTATGAAAGAATTTATGGTTGCTTCAAGATACCCATTTATAATATCTCTCTTAAATAATTTTATCTGTAAAAGATTATCCCAGTAAGATAAACATGTGTACAAAGTGTCATGAATATCCCACAACTATTTGTAAACGTTATTTAGAGAGATTACAAGAATTTCTAAAGCACAAAAACAAGCGGTACAAGACCAGAACATCAAATAAAAACAGATGATCAGTGCCATAACCCAAAACGTTCGCTATATAGGGAAGGGGAAAAAATTCTATATGTTTTGCAACCTATTTCTTACCTTAAAACCTACCAAATTTTTTGTTCAAATTGTTACCACAGAATTTAGAGAATAATCAAAACATGTACCAGAAAATATATAAAAAGTATAAGAGCTCCGTCAAAAGATACAAAGCACACATATGAGCCGCATCACGACAAAACCAATGTAATGCGTTTGCTACCAGCATGGATCCAGACCAGCCTGCGCATCTGCGCAGTCTGATCAGGATCCATGCTGTTCACTATCAGTTTCTCTACTTGTAATAGGGTTTGTAAGAGAACAACATGGATCCTGATCAGACTGCGTGGATGTGCAGGCTGGTCTGGATCCATGCTGGTCGCAAACGCATTAAATTGGTTTTGTCATGACGCAGCTCATATGTGTTTATATCAATTGAATTAACTGAGTTCTTTAGTTGGTCTGAAAAAGGCTCAGAATATTGTCAAGATTCTGCCAATATAGATAAATAAAATGCCTTGCAATCAATTCCTGACATAAGCATATTGTGCATCTTTTGAGGTTGTTTTTTTAAGGTTTATCTATCCCGAAGTATTCCTCAACCAGTAAAGCTAGGGCGACACAAGCCCCAACAAATAACCTTTACATATGATTTTTATGTGTCTTCATTCTGAACATTAGAGTCTTCATTCTAAACGTTTGTCTTCATTGTGAACGTTAGAATGTTCATTCTGAACATAAGTTTACATTCTGAACGTGTGTGTCTTCAGTTTCTACGTCAGTGTTCATTCTAAATGTAAAATCTTCATTCTGAACGTTCTTCATTCTGAATGTTCTTCTTCATTCTGAACGTTAGTCTTACTTCTAAACATTGGAGTCTTCTTTCTAAAAGTAAGTCTTCATTCTGAACGTTCAAGTCTTCATTCTGAGTTTTCATTATAAACATTAGTCTTCATTCTGAATGCTAGTCTTTATCCTGAACATTTGGATTTTTTATACTCAACTAACGTTAGTCTTCATTCTGAACGCAAGTGTATTTCTTAATGTTAGTCTTCATTCTGAATGTTTGTCTTCATTCTGAACGTTAGTCCTCATTTTGAACATTAGTCTTCATTCTGAATGTTAGTCTTCATTCTGAACGTTAGTCTTCATTCTGAACGTTAGTCATCATTCTTAACGTTAGTCTTCATTTTGAACATAAGTCTTCATTCTGAATGTTAGTCAATATTCTTAACGTTAGTCTTTATTCTGAAAGCAAGTCTTCATACTGATTGCAAGTCATTCACTTCATTCTGAGTCAGAGTCTTCATTCTTAAGGTTAGTCTCAATTCTGAACTTGAAAAGAATATTTATATTTCATTATACTTTAAGTGGAGAGATTGTCATGTACCTGAAAGTGATTTTAACCTATATATTGATTTAGTCAGTTAAGAAAATAGTTCGATGCAATGTTATTTTTATTTCTGATAAGTTAGATTTTAAAATGCCACTGACATAATCCTTAACTTTCTTATGATTTACCACTTGTAACAAAATGAAAATGATAGTCAAAGGCACAAAACTGTTTACTTATAATAAAGTCACAAGTGTACTGCATTTTGTACTGGCTTATTATAAATCATACTATGTATATGGCAAGTGACAACAGATAAAGGACTGGTGAAAAATGGATGAATCACAAACACAAATGACTTTTTTTTCAATTAAAACGTTTTATTTCTCTCAAGTTTTAATAGTCAAAATGGCTTTTTTCTTCTTTTTCTTCTTCTTTTCTTTAAATCTGTCTGTAGCATCCATGAAGAACACAGTTTCAGCTGAATGTTCTATATCCCGCTGTAGAAATTGAAGCCCAGTAAGATTAAATCCTACACAGTCCTGAAAGTTTCAAAATATACCAGCCATTGTTGAGATTAAACTAGCTGGCTTTAATGTTATACAAGGGATGTTCAGTATTAGAAATAGTCCTAAATATAAAACCTCTCTATGTATATTTATGAAACTATACCAACAGAAAATACAAAACGAGTAACATTTTTGGCGCCAAATATGACGTCATGTTATTATCAAGATTTTACGTTTTCATAAAGCTGCAGCTCGTTGATAAATTGAAAAAACTTGTAGCTATAGATTATTGTTGCATCAACACTTAACCATATGAAAAGTTTGAAAGAATTTGAATCATTTTAGGTAGTAGTTGGAAGTTTTTTACAGGGGTAAAGCTTTGTTTGTTTGTTTGTTTCATTTTACGCCTTTTCCCAACAGTATTTGAAGCTTCAGGTTAAATGGATATTTTTGGAAATTACCACTCCACCTATTGTAAAGGCAACTCTTTTAACCTCATTAAATTTCCTTAAGTAAAATAACTAACTGTAAACTAATTTCCCTTGTCTTTACTTCGAAATTAATTCCTGCTTAATAACGAAGAACATAAAACAAATTCATTTATCATATGCACATATTGGAGCATTATTTGTTAATACTGGATTAAGTGAAATAGAGTTCATGTTTTATCCATGTTTTTTTTTATACATGTAATTAATTTCCTGAAATTTAATGAATATTTCATTTCAAACAATGTTTATTTCAAATAAGTGTATAATTCAATTTCTAATTATTTTTCATTTTCTTTAAATTTAATTTTAATCTGTTTTAAGCTTTATCTTCATAAAATCCATAAAATACATACCCTAAGAGAGTTAAGTTTTTCTATTGTGATCTTGCGTAATCTATCTACTACTGGTAATAACTCCTGACAAGCTGTTATTTGACCATGATGTACTCTGAAAAATAGAAATACAATATATTGTGTTGACTTAAAGGTTCTTTGAGTCTCAGAAATTTGCTTTTTTCTTTCTGAGGAAAGGGAAAACATGTGTTTCATAATGTTGCAATACATAGTTAAGGTATGTAAGACGTATACCATCTTTTTTCCTGTATAAAATAATTGTTCATGCAGAATAAAAAAACAACATCAAATGCTTAACAAAGGAACAAACATTTATTTTGCTTCACAAAAAATCACATCTATAACAATTACATCCGGTATACAGTCTAATCAAATGTAACCATTTTGTTATGTGAAGGTCAATACGCATATATCTCATAAACAAAGTGTGTTAAACAGCATCAAGTTTGCATACAGAGTCTATGTTACAAAACTATATAACCTTCACTTACCTAAGTAAAAAGAAAAGACATCTACACATGAGCTCTATATCCCAGTTGTTAGTTATAAATTCCTCCAGCAACTTCAGTAAACCTATCACATACTGGAATGGTAGTACTAGCAGTGCTTCTTCTAATTCACTGTAACACAATTCAAACTGTAACATTTCTATCTCTTAACTCATGAATTCAGTCTGGTCAGACTGCATAAAGGTATATGACTGTTACATTTATCACCTGTTATTTCTACCACTATCAATCAAGTTACTGTCAATAATTTTATATTTTTATTGTTCCTAATACAGCAAGAATGCACATTAATCAACTCATTTCTTTAATTTCTTTTATCAACATCATAATTTTCAACATTTGATACATTTTTAAGTAACAAGAGGACTTTTAAATATAAGACAAGATGTCTTTAGATTTCATAAAAAATGAAAACATCTATGACATTTATTTGTACCTGCAAAATTATGTTTTTTGCAGCTTTTATATATCAACTGAATTGTAGAAATTATACAAAAGATTAGATTGTTAATTTTAAGTGTTAAGCTTCTTGATCAAGGAAGCAATGGCTTGCCCTCCCCCCCCCCACAGGGTTTGAACCCACACAGCCAACAATCCTAGTCTAATGTGTTAACAGCTGGACCACACTGTCAAGTTTTTGCAAACACTAAAAGTTTGCTATATTAAATGTGACAATATTAATCATATTAAGAATTTTTTTAAGTCATTGTAAAGATCCTACAGTTTTTGGGGGCATAAGAAATTTTATAACTTGCATTATCTTTTGCTAACAGAATTAATCAAAATAAGCCTGCAATTTCAACTTTAATTCTTTCAAGGTGTGGCGGAGTGATCCTGAAGGAATCAACAATTTAGCAGAAATTGGTAGCTATGTCTGTAAATGGTGTGTTACTAGTCAGTAACTTGGAACTGTATATCATTAAAACCACACCAGTTTAAGTTATTTAAACACCAGTTTAAGTTATTTAACATTATATTCACATGCAAAAAATGGAATTATAAAACATTTACTATACCTAGACTTCACCTTTTTGATGACCATAAGAACATATTTTTCTGGTGTGCTTACATTGAATGCAATCATAAGTGGGTTGGGCTCTGGTTCTTGTTTCTGAAATATAACAATTTAATTAATTTAAGCACAGACATGCCTTGAACTGGAACTCAGCAACTTTTTCCATTGCATGCTGAATAGCTTCCTCACAATGGAAATCTAAAATATTCCTAACAGATCTCTAATCAGAAGTGTGACACAACACAAGAATTTCAAAGTCAGTATACACAAACACACAGTCACCACAGAGTTTTCTCAAATGATATAAGAACTGTTTATGAACATTCTTTACATACATTGTATATATTAGTATTAATTATTGAAATAGTTTGCTACAGGTTCAATAATAATATAAATGTATATCTAATTATTAGATATATATTATTATTGAACCTGTAGCAAACTAGTTCAATAATTGAAAAAAATGCAATTAGGTGACCAACGTTTCGAAAATCCTAAAAGCATTTAAGCATTATTTTGTTCTTTCCCAATAGAAAAAGTAAACATGTCTACCATCCTACCTAAAGTTAAATATTTGGAAAGTGCTGTGTTAAACAAACTTGAAGAAGCCTTTGGTCTTACCTTTGTCCTTGATTGCTGGCACTCAAGTCTATAAATAGACCATTTATATTTCTCCTCTTTGTATAATTCTATAGCTTCCATTATTTTCTCAGCCTTAAATAAATAAATAAAAACATATCCGTTATACATGCACAATGTTCAAAAAGAAACATCTGGCAGGAGAGGTTTTAAGGAGAAGAAAGCTGTTGTAAAACACAAATATCTATCAGCCTACATCTATTTACAGTAGTAAATTTACAGTAGTGGTGATTTATGTTTGTTTGTTTGGCATCAACACAGTCATATGGCATTGAAACAGGAAAGATGATTTTGACTAAAGTCGGGTGTTACAATCTTCAAAGCAACACCAGGGGTAAAAATCACAACACCTGCTGGAGCTTAGAGATGCATTGACTCAAGTTATTCAAATCCATTTAGTCGCCTCGTACGATCACACAGGGATAAACGTTGGCTTAAATTCCTATGACTCAACCATTAAATACAACTCTTCAGTCAAAAAAGGATAAAAATTTTGTGAATTTAAATGATTTTACCTTTAAGGTCAACAATACATTGCATGAAATTGTATGAAATTGTTTGAATACATTGTATGAAATTGGCATAGATGATATCACATCCAAAAATGAGAAACAGACAGATAGAAAAATATAAATGCAATATTTACAATGTCTTATCTATTAAGAAGTGACCTTTTTTCAAATATAATCTGTTAAAAAGACTACTGGTACAATGGCATAATGACAAAACTTACAGCTTTTACAGTCTCTACTGACTTCTTCCCTGCTAGACCTGTCTCTTTATTTGTTTCCCCTGGAACCTACAATATATACATAAAAAATATTAGTCTGAAGCTGGTAAGGAAAAAACGTTTGATGCTTACATTAACAAGTCTCAAGTCCTTTGACTGAACATCAGTACTGGTGTTGTATGATTAAACATTGTAGTGACACTATAAGAGCTTGAACCCTAAATCTCTGGCTTGAGGGGAATACACCACTACAACTACTTAGACCATTACAAAGAATTATAATTATACAAAAATGACTGCGAGTAGTTCATCACCATAAAAACTTTTATGTCAAATTTCATATATGAGCTGTGTCATGACAAAACCAACATTATAGGTTTGCGACCAGCATGGATCCAGACCAGCCTGCACATCCACGCAGTCTGATCAGGATCAATTGCAGTTCGCTTAGCAACTCTATTACAAGTAGAAAAACTGACAGCGAACAGCATGGATCCTGATCAGACTGCACGGATGCGCAGGCTGGTCTGGATCCATGTTGGTCGCAAACCCATTATGTTGGTTTTGTTGTGATGCGGCTCATATGTTTAGTGCCTGTTTAACGGAATTTTAACAACAAGAAAGATATCGCCTAAACCTTCTCCGTGTTTTCTGCAAGCCTATGACTGTTATTCTTCCTTAATTAAGTCACTTAAAACAGTGGTTAAAGACTATAGTACAAGATCTGTTCTTGTCAACTAAATTGATAAAAGTAAAATAAATTAATTTTGATGTGCTTTTTTTACATGAACTTATAACCATTGATAAATAGATGAGTTAATTGTATAAATTAAAATGTCAAGTGTTTACAACAATATTATATCACTTACCACTGCTTCACCACCCTGACCAACAGAATCTTCAAACTCCTTCTCACGCTCCTTTATAAAACATAAATAAATGTTCACAATTCAATGATTCTACTAAAACAAACATAAAATATAAACAACAAGCAATTATCATAGTATTGCAAGCAGTCCCCTACCGGTTAGAACCCCAGCAACATTCTGATTTCAATTTTACCAGTGAATGAATGACATGAATGAACTTAAATCTTTTGAGTTCTAAGTTTGTCTATTTCACAGTAATGTGTTAAGTTTCCTGCCTAGTAAGGCAATTATGTTTATACAACCTTGTCATATTATTACGATGTGGGATTTTAAAGTAAATGCTATAATAAATGAAGAAGTTGGAGTAAAAAATGCCAATTTCTCGAAAAAAATCTAAGTTCAAGGGGGACATAATTCTGGAAATAGTCTTGCTAGAGTATTTAACCTTCTCAAAAATGTTGAGTGATAATAAGAAACATATATATGCAGTTTGAAGTAGATACATTAGGAAATAACGAAGTTATTTAAAAAAGACAACATTTTTTTTCATAAAAATTCTAAGTTCAAGGGAGGTTATACTGATAAATTTTGTGCTGGAGTTGTAAACCTTGTCACATATGATGTGGTTGATGACCAGAAACTTATATTTAAAGTTTGAAGTAAACACCTTAAGAAATAAAGAACTTATAGTGAATAAGCTGAAAAAAATAAATCAGAAATCTTGAAATCCAGGCTATTTGTTGCCATAGCAACCAGAATTTTCAACATAGGAAGAAAAGAAAAAGATGTGCATAATCTGCAGACTGCCATCTACCCATATGTTATGTTTCATAAAAATATTTTCAGTACTTTGTGAGTTATCACTTGATCCAGTTTATGTGTTAAATTTGCCATATTTTCAGACTATTTGTTGCAATAGCAACCATAATTTTCAACATAGGAAGAAAAGAAAAAGACGTGCATAATCTCCATACTGCCATCTATCCATATATCAAGTTTCATAAAAATATTTTCAGTATTTTTTGCGTTATCGCGGGATCCAGTTTTGTGGACGGACGGACTGATGGACAGACAGACGGACGGACAGACAGACGGACGGACGGAGGGTAAACCTAAAGTCCCCTCTGGTTAAACCGATAGGGGACTAATAAGATAACTCCTTATTACTTGTATTAAAAGCTGCTGAAAGTGCTAAAAATTGTTTGGAAAGTCTTTTATAAGAAAGTCATGTTGGTTAAATAGAGAATGGTTTTACAATTGAAAATATATGAATACAATAACAGGTGCTATTTTAAGCACACCATAAAGAACCATGCAAAGACATTTGATTGGATATATTAGGGTTAGTTTACATTTATGCATGTATGCTTAAAACTATTTGTAAAGGGGCATTTAACTTGTCAAAATTCTTTATAACTTACAAACTGTCATTAATTTGTGAGGTAATTTTCATCATTTGATGCTTTTACTTAATATTTAAAAACTATATTTTACATATGATCATGGTCAGTCTACTTATTGTATCATAGTTTTGGGACCTTTCTGTGGAAAATGTGTCAGAGTTAAATCATATACATATACATGCACAGTGCGTTAACTGGAGTGCACGTATTAGTTACCTGCAAAGCAGAGCATGTCCATTGATTGGTTCATTTTGTCTGGGGTTTACTTATTGTGACGGAAGACAAAGGGAAAGTTACAGAAATATCATATTCAGATGCTCGTTCATTGGTTAATTTTTCACGGGGTCTATATTGTGACACAGGGAATGTGTTTTTTATGTTTGACTATCATACAAAAGATAAAGAACATCAAAACACTCGGCAATCTGATTAATACTCGGGGGGCTACGCCCCCTCGTACAAATCAGATAGCCTCGTGTTTCGATGCTCTTTCTATTACATATAATAAGATGGTTTGTTGCATATATAACAATATATATAACATATATAACTTACCATTTCTCTTTCCTCCTGTAGAATTAACGGTTCATGTGTTTTCTGCCAGAGTCTGAGGGACTTGTCATGTGAACCACTGGCTAGCACATTACCACTGGGGCTCACACTTAAACACCAAACCTCTGCATGATGACTCTAATAAACAACAACAATTACCAGAGCTTTACAAATGTGAACTGTATATTTTATATACATGTATCATAGTATTTGGGGTGTTGTTAAATAAATAATCTGGAATTTCTCCAAAGAAATGGAAACAGAAAGATACATGAAAATTGCGGACTCCATTTGAATCTGTGTGTTTATCAGGGATAATGGTAAAGTGCAACATCCCTCAGAGGTCATGATACTGATACTGTACAGGTCATAATGCAACCTTCAAGCTTTACTGGTGGAGAGTACCTTAAGTACCCTCTTTGATCATTATTTCAGGGAAGAACTGGCACCCAAGTAGAACCACTGGTCTTCTACATGTGATATAAAAAGCTCCAAAGTCCATGGCAGGATTTGAGCCTTATGAAGTGAGAGGCATATTATTTGAAGTCAGCAGCTTTTAATTCTCAATCACAGAGACCCTGTTATTTTATATGAATATAAAAATATGAGCTGCGTCATGACAAAAGCAACGTAACACATTTGCGACCAGCATGGATCCAGACCAGCCTGCGCATCCGCGCATACATCAGGATCCATGCTGTTCACTTACAAACCCTATTACAAGTAGATATACTGATAGCGAACAGCATGGATCCTGATCAGTCTGCGCGGATGCGCAGGCTGGTCTGGATCCATGCTGGTCGCAAACGCACTATGTTGGTTTTGTCATATATATAAACAGTTATCTATTGAGTACTTACTTTCTGACATACAAATGATATCCTTATACTTATTTATCATAAATGTACAATAAAACATGAGATTTTGTTTCAGAAATTTCTACCTACCTCTAAAGTAGTTATATGTTCAAAATTATCAGCATCCCACTGTTTTATTTTCCTATCTTTACCACCAGTGAAGAACATATGAGTTTTAGCAATGAACTGTAGGCACATTATACTGAAATTAAAATACATGTTATAACAAATTAAATCTGAATACAATGGTTTTCGGGAAAAAACATTTTGAAGTTTGTAAGTAATAGCTTTAAGGCACAATATGCATCAAAAACAAATTTTTACTTCTTTATTATGGGCTAACATGAATTTTATAATGTTTAAATAATGGTTTTAGAGAATGTTTGATGGTTTTTACCCGAAGAATGGAAATAATTTGTCATGAAAGTAGCTACAAATTACATACAAAATACTCATTCACTATAACTGTACTTATTGCCAAAAAAGAAAGAATTGAAAAATATTGTTTTGGTTATTGGCCAATGAGTAATCTTTTAGATACTATAAAAAGTACACCAAAATTGGAAGCTTTTGAGAATTGAAATTAAAAGCATTTCTGAGGCATAATGGGCTTTAACACTTCTCTCTACAGACATTTCTGTTTGTGACATAACTCTTATCCTGCTGAATTGTATACTTTGAATTAGAAACAGTCAGTCTATTAGTAATTCCAGGTAGTTCTATATCAAAACAATAATAAGATCAAACAAAATCTGTCAAAATACCAATAAACAGTATAGTCTTAAAGCCAGGCTCTATACTGGTTGCAAAAGTAAATTTACTGGAATAAAATTCACAAACGAATCAACCTGAATCTTTCCCAGAATAAATCAATGGTAACAATGTTATATAGATTTTCCTACAATACATATATAAAGAGTATGGCTAACTCAATTATACTATAATACACTCTTAAAAGTACATAGCAGCATGGACTTATAACCCTTGTATAAATTAAATTTCTGGGCACTGGGTGCACATATAAAAGTAAATTATCAGTACAAGAGTAAAAACATTACAGCATATCAAGCTTGGAACCAGGCATCTTTAAAAAGCTATTGATTTTTTTATTAACAAACAAATCTGCTGGTTCCGTTACCTGTCATCATGAGCAAAGATAGATTTATGGCAGTCACCAAAGTCTAGACCCCATATTTTCACATTTCTGTCAGCCGAGCCAGACACCAGCAGAGTACTGTCAGCTGAGATGTCCATACATAACACTGGTAATTTATGACCATAGAGGGACAGGAAAAACTGAAAATATTGGAGAAAACAGTAGGTATAATATAATGTTAATATCACTGAATCATTTAAATCCTCTTTACTTTACATCATCATCACTCAGCTCTGTTAAAATAACTTTTCACAATTTCCTACATAACAATATGTACAAAAAAGTTCAAATGCATTGAAATATACAAATTATTTGAGCTGCGTCACGACAAAACTAACATAATGGGTTTGCGATCAGCATGGATCCAGACCAGCCTGCGCATCCGCGCAGTTTGATCAGGATCCATGCTGTTCGCTATCAGTTTCTCTACTTGTTATAGGGTTTGTAAGCGAACAGCATTGATCCTGATCAGACTGCGCTGATGCACAGGCTGGTCTGGATCCATGCTGGTCGCAAACGCATTACGTTTGTTTTGTCATGATGCGGCTCATTTAAACTATCAAAATTATATTTCTACGCTGTTTAACAGCAAAATTATGTAAAATTGCATTCAGACACTCTCTTCAAACCTGTTTCTGCACTAGAATATATATTTTTATTCAATACTAATATCACACTCATTAGAAATCAGTTATGATGTAAATTAAAAAAGAAAACTAACCAAGTTCTTATTTTGCATTGATTATGCTTCAATTAAAAAACATAACATAACAATGTCCCTTTATCAAAATTTATACTTTATATATTTTAATATATCCATCAAAAAAGCAAATTAAATGTACACATAGAGACACCTTTTACAGTGCTATCTCATCTTAAGTGTATCCATAAAGAAACATTAACAGTCCTATCTTGCCCTAAGTGTATCCATAAAGAAAACTTGAACATTGCTATCTCACCTTAAGTGTATCCATAAAGAAAAAGTTAACAGTCCTATCTCACCTTAAGTGTATCCATAAAGAAAACTATAACAGTCCTATCTCACCTTAAGTGTATCCATAAAGAAAACTTTAACAGTGCTATCTCACCTTTAATGTATCCATAAAGAAAACTTGAACAGTGCTATCTCAACTTAAGTGTATCCATAAAGAAAAAGTTAACAGTCCTATCTCACCTTAAGTGTATCCATAAAGAAAACTTGAACAGTGCTATCTCACCTTAAGTGTATCCATAAAGAAAACTTCAACAGTGCTATCTCACCTTAGGTGTATCCATAAAGAAAACTTGAACAGTGCTATCTCACCTTAAGTGTATCCATAAAGAAAACTTCAACAGTGCTATCTCACCTTAGGTGTATCCATAAAGAAAACTTTAACAGTGCTATCTCACCTTTAGTGTATCCATAAAGAAAACTATAACAGTCCTATCTCACCTTAAGTGTATCCATAAAGAAACATTAACAGTCCTATCTTGCCCTAAGTGTATCCATAAAGAAAACTTGAACAGTGCTATCTCACCTTAAGTGTATCCATAAAGAAAAAATTAACAGTCCTATCTCACCTTAAGTGTATCCATAAAGAAAACTATAACAGTCCTATCTCGAATTAAGTGTATCCATAAAGAAAACTTGAACAGTGCTATCTCACCTTAAGTGTATCCATAAAGAAAACTTTAACAATGCTATCTCTCCTTAAGTGTATCCATAAAGAAAACTTTAACAGTGCTATCTCACCTTTAATGTATCCATAAAGAAAACTTTAACAGTGCTATCTCACCTTTAATGTATCCATAAAGAAAACTTGAACAGTGCTATCTCACCTTAAGTGTATCCATAAAGAAAACTTTAACAGTGCTATCTCACCTTTAATGTATCCATAAAGAAAACTTTAACAGTGCTATCTCACCTTTAATGTATCCATAAAGAAAACTTTAACAGTGCTATTTTACCTTTAATGTATCCATAAAAAAAACTTTAACAATGCTATCTCACCTTAAGTGTATCCATAAAGAAAACTTTAACAGTGCTATCTCACCTATAATGTATCCATAAAGAAAACTTTAACAGTGCTATCTCACCTTTAATGTATCCATAAAGAAAACTTTAACAGTGCTATCTCACCTTAAGTGTATCCATAAAGAAAACTTTAACAGTGCTATCTCACCTTTAATGTATCCATAAAGAAAACTTTAACAGTGCTATCAAGGAGGGAGACTGCCAGCAATCTCTGATCGGGACTACATTTTACACACAGTACATCTTCATCCATCTGTAGTGTCCGCACATGTTGTAATGTTAACTGTTTACTGAAATATAGAGAAAAAAACACTTTAATTTCAAGTGTAATTAATGTAATTTATTCAAAACCTCGCAATGAAACATAAGGTAGATGGTCCTAGTTTATACTTGCTCTGTTTCTCTAGGCAATAAATTGCCTTGAATATTGTAACAACCTTTATCTAAGGATAATGAATTGCAAATGACACAAATCATGCATATATGTTATAATTAACTATTTATGAAATGAAAAGAATTTCATTATAAAAGTGCAAAATAAAAACATCTTTACATTATTCTCATGTAATTTTTATACTAATACTTAATCAACCTTTAAATGATTCTAATAAAACCATGCCATTTTCAACAAAATTTAACATCAAGTACCATTATTCGGATAAACAGGGGATATTGAATGAGTGTAAGTTTAATAGTGAATTTATTGAACATGTTAAATCATATTATTTTATTTCACAAGTTCAATGAAATTAGTAATGAACTTAAGCAAATATAATATTCTATTTATCACTAAAAGAGAAAAAGTAACATTTTTCATTGACGCGCCTATAGTATATAGCGCTAGCATTAAGCGCATCTAAATGCTATGTTTGTATAAAGCAAATGACGTCACCTAAAAATAATGTGGCCATAAAACCCTTTTTTTGCTAGTGGCAAAAGCAGCAGGGTTTTAAGGTGATAGTAATTTTTTAAAGAGTGAACCAAATTTAAAAGAGAAAAAAATAAAGGACAGTATGGTTTATTTTTTCTCAGACATGGCAAAACCTACCTTTTTTCTGGTTTTTTGTCACAGCACAATTTAAAAAATTCCCAGTTTTTTACCTTTTTTATCCCCCCCACCAGACACTATACCTCTCTGAAATAGATTACAAATGTCATTTTATAAAGTGAACAGTTTCTCATTAAATATAACTCAAACTACATACAGAAATGCTTACAATGCTTTTAAAATGGTACAGTTACACTATGCTCCTGTCGGCCACTGCAATCATAATTCCAACCACTGTGTAATAAAGGGAATAAACTTGATATCACATACAGGCATTGGCTAGGCAAACATGAGAGACTGTTATTACTGTGAATGACAAGCGAGAATTTTGTCATGGCAGCCACAGTGTGGATTAGGAACATAATAGGTTCCAGGAAAAAATGCTGCAAGATGTGGCAAACTTGTAGATTTATCCATAGAAGACCTTGAAAAAACTTTAAAACATTAAAACCTGGATGAAGAAATGACAAATATCAAAATACATCAGACAAGGAGACAACATACATGCATCCCTGGTAGACCAAGGCCTGAACCTCAGTGAAAAAATCATAAGTGCCTGGCAGGATTTGAATCCACAACCTTAAGGGGCAAGTGGTTTGAAGTCAATGACCTTAACCACTTAGCCATGTTTACTTATCCAGTGATATATAAATATATGATCTAACCTTATCTGGTGTCATACATATAGACCAGTGATATATAAATATATGATCTAACCTTATCTGGTGTCATACATATAGACCAGTGATATATAAATATATGGTCTAACCTTATCTGGTGTCATACATATAGACCAGTGATATATAAATATATGGTCTAACCTTATCTGGTGTCATACATATAGACCAGTGATATATAAATATATGGTCTAACCTTATCTGGTGTCATACATATAGACCAGTGATATATAAATATATGATCTAACCTTATCTGGTGTCATACATATAGACAGTGATTATATAAATATATGATCTAACCTTATCTAGTGTCATACATATAGACCAGTGATATATAAAATATATGATCTAACCTTATCTGGTGTCATACATATAGACCAGTGATATATAAATATATGATCTAACCTTATCTGGTGTCATACATATAGACCAGAGTGAGCCTCCGTGAGCATCCACTTCTTCCAGCAATGATCCACTACCAATGTCAAATATTTGTAGTTTCCCACTCTGTAACCATAGTAATACAGTTTCAAGAAATAGAAACATAATGATAAACAGATCATCCTCTTGCTGATTTATTATGTTGTCTTTTCTCTCTTTCTCGAACGAATTTTATTTACATAGTTGTATTAACAAGCTACATTATAATGACGAAATGTTATAAGGCAAAAGACCCTAACATATTCAAATTAGAGCTTATAATAAATTTCTGTAGGTGATGCCATAAAAAAGATACAAGGAAAACAAGGCATATCAGCAGGCAACAGGTTCCATTTTTCTCAGTGTTATAGTTTGTATAATAAAACCAGACAAAAAATGGCCAAAACTTTACAATAATTAATTTCCAATGATTTGCCATTTTGAAATGGCTTTACATTTTGAGAGTATAAAGATATACCCAGTTTAATGTGATAAGCTTTAAAAGATAATGATAAAGTTGACCTTAACAAAATGATTAACCAATGCCACCCAATGGGTTATGACAATAGTTTGAGCTATGAATCAACTGTTTTTTCCCTTTTTTACTCAACTCAATTCAAACAAAAACTCCTTTATAACTGTAACTATTAAATATGTCAAAGGAACCGTATGTTTTCCTCCAAGATAAATTACTTTTGAATTTTACTTCTAAGATATCATTATCAATTTCCATTAGATAAAATTGTAAATCCTTATATATCCTTGGAGATATTTGTTTTTTTCTAAAACAGAATCATAGACAAATCACCATATAAATGAGATCATTTTTTAAATATTACAGTTACCATTTTTAACAAATGATTAAGTATATAAATTTACCTTTGTACCAAGGATTATATGCCTGTCACCAGGAGCAAACATGGAACATAAGGCATAATCACATGGCATAGTTCTAATACACTGTAATGAAGCCCTGAAATAACATTAAACATTAGGCATGATCTATCACATATCAATCTTCTACGCACAAATCTATTGTTATTTACACTACATTTCAAAAACAGATTTTTTTTATAAATCTTTTTAGTCACATAGATAGTTATGCACTCATATGCTGACTTTTCTTTTTCACCAATGGAGGCTGAAAAAAAGGACCCTATATTAAAACTGGCAACTTTATTTAACCAGTGACCCTCATCCTAAAGAAATTCACTGTTTAAAGCATGATTTATCTTGACAATGCATCTGAAGTTAGTAACCACATCAAATTGGCAATGGAAGCCTGCCATAAAACTAATTAATTAAATCACAATTTAAAGAATGAAATTAAACAACATTTCACCTGTTCCAGACTTTCACAGACTCGGCACTTGCCGTCATCAATGCCGTATTGTCAGAACTAAAGCTGATAGTTCTAACGTCACTCTGGTGTCCATGTTGACTTAACACACCTATACCTGATGCCGGATTCTTCTGGTCATTGATATCTATTGCACAGTAGCCAAATGTATTGTTGTTAAACAGTGTCAACACCTGAAATATAGATTATATAATTTATAAAGAATATCTAGTTCAATCAATGTTAGACATCAATACTTTTTGATATGTTTTGGCTAAAATATTTGGCAAAAATCAAAAGGCATTCCACCCTTCTTGGAGATTTATATTTTTTCCCCACTAATTTTTCATTTATGTCTTTCCATGATAATTTTTATTTACAATTTAACATTAAATATTTAATAAAACCTTTCAAATATGATATATTATTGTACTTGGTTTACTTTTAAAAGATAAACTTTCATAAAATGATATATAAATAGCAACATTGCCCTCTATAGCTGATACCCACAACTTTTTCCCGCCTATTGAAAAAGACCTTTTCTCTACTATAGTGAATAACATTGTTCTTGGAAATGGCCTTAAGTTCCAAGTTCTACCTTTAAAATTTTAATAAGGATGATATGTTGTCTTCTTTTGTAACTTTTCAAAACATAAAGGATTGTTCGAAATAATTACCTTTACTGTACTGTTAGAACTATGCATGATATCAGCTGATGCTATTTTTGCCGCCATTTTTACTGCTGCCACTTTACTTATCTCATCCTCCAGCTTTAACTCAACATTTATACCGCTCTCCTCAATGCTTTCCCTATCAAACAATAAATACTGACTATAAATACAATATAGTGATAATAGGAGTATCTTGATCTGGTACTTGTGTTTCACCTGAGAGGGTTTTGCTAGGATAGGATCTCGTGAGGTGCAAATATAATACCCATTGTTTTTTGGTCAGCATGTTTGGGTATGTGATACAAAGCATTAAATGTAGAAAAATATTAACAACTATTTAAACAAGAGCTGTCACAGGAGACAGCGAAGCTCGACTAATAAAATACTGGACGCAGTAAGGAGGACAAAACTATGAAAGAAAAATCAATTGTGTATAATTATGTATTAAGTTATAGTAAAAAAAATAATATTTGTTAACATAAATTCCAAGATCAAGGGAATAATTCTAGTAGAAATAGTCATGCTTGAGTTATGGACCTTGTCACACAACATTTGGTAATGATAAGAAATATATATTTGAAGTTTGAAGTAGATACCTAAAAAGTAAAGAAGTTATTATATTTCTTAAAGAAAATCCTAAGTTCAAAGAGAGATAAATGTGTAAATATTGCTTCAAGAGTTATGAAACATTGTCACATAAAATGTAATTGATGACAAGGAATAAGAATTTGGAAGTTTTGAGGTAAATACCTTTAAAAATAAAAAAGTTATAATAAAAAATAACATTTTTCTAGTAAAAACATCTAAGTTTAGGGGAGATATTCTTGCAATATTGGTGCAAGAGTTATGAACCTTGTCACATAAGATGTGGATGATGATAACATAAATATATTTGAAGTATGAAGTTGGATCCCTTTAGAAATAAATAAGTAACAGTAAAAAAATAATATTTTTTATGGAAAATTCTAAGTTCAAAGGGAGATAAATCTGAAAATATTGGTGCTAGAGTTTTTGAACCTTGTCACATAAGATGGGATGATGATAACGTAAATATATTTGAAGTATGAGGTTGATCCCTTAAGAAATAAAGAAGAAACAGTAAGAAATAGTACTTTTTGAGGAAAATTCTAAGTTCAAGGGGAGATAAATCTGAAAATATTGGTGCTAGAGTAATGAACCTTGTCACATAAGATGGGGATGATGATAAGGTACATATATTTGAAGTATGAGGTTGATCCCTTAAGAAATAAAGAAGAAACAGTAAAAAATAGTATTTTTTAAGGAAAATTCTAAGTTCAAGGGGAGATAAATCTGAAAATATTGGTGCTAGAGTTATGAACCTTGTCACATAAGATGTGGTTGATGATAAGGAACATATATTTGAAGTTGATACCTTAAGAAATGACAAAGTTATAGTGAAAAATATTTTACTGCACCAAACTTTAATCTAAAATCTGGACGCGGACGCCGGGGCTAGTAGGACAGCTCTCCATATACTTCGTATAGTCGAGCTAAAAATAGTAAATATTTGGACTGGAGAACAACACATTCAAACACCTGGTTATGTTTAGACTTTATTGAAATTACTAGCCTCAGAATATACTAAAGATCTTTTATGCTGAGCAATGTATCATATCTCAGGGAAAGACTTGCTTACATTTACAGTTTTATGAAAGGATTTTTTTCTATGAATGATCTGAACCAGTCTCAACTAAATTTCTTTACGAGTAAACTTGCTGCCAGTTTTACATGACAGGATGATTTATTTGTGATATTTTGAAAACAATAATGAAAGTAATGGCAAATGTTATCAGGACATTAATGCAAACCAATGAAAAGTTGGCTGACTTTAACATGCTCTGTGTCTGATTATAATTATTCATTGTTTTTCTCTTCCACAGAGTTTTAAGTTACTCAGACACCATAAAGGTTATAATATAGGTGACCTTTCACCTTGACTAGTGCTGGTTAGAACCACTGACTATCCAAAAGAATACCATGTCCCTGGCAGGATTCAAACCAACAGTTGTGTATGAGTGGCAAGTGATTTTAAGTCAAAAGGAACAAAATAGAATTTTGATGTTATTTAGCAGATATTAAACAGGTTAAATACAGTCGGCATCGTACTTGCGTCCACCTTTATTAAGCGACTTTTTTATTAAGCGGCCACATAAAATCCCTCCCGATGATTTTTACTATTTAATTTAATTCCATTAAACGACTATTTTATATCGCGGCCAGCGGCCACTGAATGTCGGCCCAAATGTACAAAATTAAGTGATAAGGTATCTATTAAACGGCCGTGACGAACAATCGTCCCTGCGGGCATTCTCACCTGTGTAATTGAGCGCGTAGGTTAGATGTTGTACAAGCAAACAAACGAAATATTTTTCATGGTCATTGTCACAAATAATTTATCTCGTCGTTTAAAAACGAAAATGAATAACAATTGCAATCGTTTTCAAAAATCGGATTTTCCGATCGTAATATTTATTGTGAAATATTTTGTCAGAGCAAATAACGTATCACAACACCGCATTTGCATAGTTTGTCATGTCCTCAGAGTGACCTCCCTTATCGAAAATGACGTCGGATCGAGCGAAAAAAAGATAGACAACTAATAAGACCGGATAAATTGTATGAGGAAATCGTGCATGGAATTGAGTCTGAGTAAATAGCAAATGTCATCGATTGTAGTCGAAATAAAATAGTGAACGTAGTGGACTAAACATTACAGAACCGAGCCTTTCATTGATGATGGTGTAGGTGCTCCGCTGATGCTTAATAAAATACACGTAGTATCCAATTAAATATGACCCTTCGACAAAAAAGACAAAAACATCCTAGAAATCGGGGTAGTGTGAAAACTAATTGTTGAAAAAATCAAGAAGTTTAAAACTCATTGCATAAAAAATTATCTGGAGCTCTGGCTGACGATTCTAAAGTATGTTCAGCAGAAGATGTGTATGAACATATTAAAAATATAAGACAATATGCTTTGTTTCATGGTCAAAATAACCTGTTGACAGTATTATGAGCGTAGATCACATTTGTACACAAATTTCTACTAAAAAACAAAAACAAACAATATTGATGACTTTTTTTTAAAAAAGGCATAAATGTAATTATAAAACTGTAATACATACATAATATTGTAAAGTTTTTGTTTTTATAAAAAAAGATGTTATTATATCTATGACTTGTAATAAAAAGTCTCGAATTTTCCAGAATTCTATTGAGAGACCACTTTATTAAGAGACCACTTTTTGGCAGTCCCTTGAGTGGTCTCTTAATACAATGTCGACTGTAGTGTCCTTGGTTAATGTATAAAGGAAATGATGCATGAAATCCATCACTTAAATAATAAATTTTAATAAATTTTAAATATACACAATACAAAATGAACATGAATAATTTGAAATACCCAGCCTTTTTCTTTTCCTTTTTAAGTCGTTTTGAAAGTCTTTTCTTTAAATCATTTTCACCAGGCAGCTTAAAAACTTCCAACATTCTATCATTTCCCTAGAAATATAAAGTATTAACCAAAGATATACAGGTTTACTTAGAAAAATTGACGATACATAACATTAAATCAGTCTTACAAGCTTCTGAATCAAATAAAATCTTAAAGATGAAATTATTCTTATTTGAATTTTTAATATATTATTATAAATATTTAAATGTAACATATGACATAAAGACATTTTGAATGTTGTAGACTTACGTGACATATTAGTGTCGTCTGCTGCAGATCGGTTGCCATGGAGATTAGTCTATCTCTACCAGACCTCATTACTGATCCCATTTTCTTACATTCTATCAGATTCTAAAATAAATAGAAAAAATCTTTTATAAACCTATATAAACATACAAATTTATAATAAAACAATTTTGATTTCCTTAATATGATTAAAAAATCGCCACAGTTAAAGATAAGTTCATATGGACATATAGATATTACATGTCTGACTTTACACCTTTATCGGTTGAGGAGAACCAATATCAGGTCCCTCTGCACATTGTTTCAGGCAAGATAAAATAACTTGGGGAAAACCACGACCATCTGAAAGCTAGCTTGATAGCATTCTTCTATACAAAAAATTGACCATTAGATTTGTTCATGACAATCTCGGACATTGAGTCTAATGGTCATTTGTCTCTCACCTCTGTTTCAGAAATCATGTGGCATTAGTAGTTTGCCACTTGCCGAGAAATTGGTAATGACTGATTAGTAATCGGAGAAATTCAACTAGGTGGATCCACCACTGTGTTATGACCAAATCTTGTAAAACACGAGATAAAAACAAAACAAACTGTGATAAAGTTTATGATCATTAAAAGAAATTAAAGATTAAAAGGCAAGTTTATAACAAATGGGGTCTAAATTTACAATTTGTTACAACTTGGGTCTTCTGTAAAATTTGTAACAGTTGATTGTATGTTTCTACTTGGAGCACTAATAGAGGGTACTTGCCCAATTAGTTAAAAATTTGGGGAAGGGTTTTACACTTGGGGTCAAAACCAAATTTTTCAAAAGTTTTAAAAATTTTTAACCATTTTCCCTTTTTCCTTTTTCAGTTAATTTTTTAAAAACAGGGCAGAAAATTTTAAATTTTTTTTGTTTGGCAGGTTTCTGAAAAAAATAAATGCCCTTTAAATTTAAAAATTTACAGATATTATAAAATATTGAAATACATTTGCCTTGGGCGAGGATGTTTTATAAAAATTACGTTTTAAAAATTTTACCTTGTCTTTTTTAAAAAAAAATTTCTAAAGGATTTTTCCCAATGTATTTTTAAATTTTAAAAATTAAATGTTTTTAAACCAAATAAAAATTCCCCTTGTTGCTGAAATTTTTTGGGTTATTTTTACAAATAATTAAAACCTTGTACGAAGGAAAATATCGGGGAAAAATTTAAATTTGGGTATACAAGTGAAAATACATAAAGTCCCGGGTTTTTATTTTAGGGGTATACCCAGTAAAAAACAAGGGTATATGGGACAAAATAATGACAATTTTGTAACTAGTTTAAAGGGTCCTTAACAAAGAATATCTTTAAAAACCATTTAGTACTCTTTACAACAAATCTTAAAATCAGATAAGGATAGCCATAATAGTTTGTAGGTCAGTAATTTAACTCAATACCTCCTTGCCTATACTTAATGACCAAATACCATCCTTGCAATTACATGAAGGTAGTTCACAGAAACATATCAATCATGTTCAAAGCATTTAGCAGTAATTCTTGATTTCTGCAAATTCTAATGTAAAAGGAACCATCCCATATATACTTCTATGAACATATTAAGTATCTTACTAATAAATTTCATTGATAAAGAAAACAAGTATCTTTATACATACTAGTTGGTCAGTGTATGTGATATCCCATACTCTAAGTTCACTGTCAGCAGATCCTGTCACTAATCTTGTATCATTTCTCAACAAAACAAAATCATACACCTGAAATAATACATTGTCAACCTTATCAACAACAAAAAAAATGTCCTTTTCGTTATTGTATTCAAGCTGTGTGAGAATATGTTTATTTAATTGTATCATAGAGTAAATTGCCTTACTTTCTTGTATAGGAATACTTTCTGAAAATTTCACAGCATTACAATAAAATAATCATAACAGAATTTAAATGCTGTTTCTAAGGAAAAGAGGACAATATTACCTCACTTCTGTGCTCTACCAATGTCTTAAAACAATGTTGAGTATCTAGATCCCAAAACTTCACAAATGTGTCTTTAGAACTGAAATATTAAAATCCATGAAAGGTGGACATATATAATTATAGATTGTGTAGGAGTGCAAATCAACCTTGAATGCTATGAATACAACTTCTTGCAATGTCATCATAGAATATGCTCTTTGACTCAATGATCAAATTTTGAACAGGATCACATCAAGATAATTTCTAATGAGTACCACTATAGATCTCGCTGGTTTAGGAGAAGTCACTCTCAATATTTACTTCTGACTACTATATTGTTCATTTGACAGGAAATATTTTATATAAATTTTTACCTTTTCTAAAGGACCAGATAAGGATCATTCCTTTACCACTTCATCAAAATTGCCGAATAGGTTTATAAATGAGAGTGCTGTTTAAATTAAAGTAATAATTTACATAAAACAAAAGCTGCTAATCAAAATACTTCATCTGAAGTAAGGTTAACAAAAGTACATTTCTCCTCTGGCCCATTTTACTTTCATTGTCCAGCCAGGACTTTACATAATACATGCATATAATGGATATTATTATGATATTATTTCCCCCTAAAACTCTTGAAACAACTGTATATTTCTCAAAGTTAAATGAACATGCTCAAAAGTTTTCAAGCAAGCAGTCATACTGTATTATTGACATCACCATGTTTCAGAATCTGCAACAAAAAGAAACATATTAACCATAACTACTCTTTTCATATCTGTAAGTTGTATTATTACCTGGTAATAAGAATATTTCTGTCTTTGAGAAAATATGCCTGAGTTACTGCCCCTTTATGCCCCTTCATTCTGTATAATCCACACTCATTCACGATGTCCCAAACAATTACATCAGTATCCTACAATGTTAATAAAGTCACAATTTATGATTTAATAAGCAATATATTTCATCTATAATACGAATTATCATACAAATTCATGTAATTGAGTTATTTAGATACTTTATGACAGCCAATCATGATACCCAATCATAATCTTACTGATTTAAATGCTATTACAATCTAAGACTCTACTTATTTGCTTTACTTATCAATTATTGTATTCAGACAGATAAGTTTACCTCACTGAACTAGACATCATTGGTGGACAACCAATCAGTAAAGGTTAATGCAAGAAATCTTGTTACTAATTATTCAATACATTGTCCAATTAATAAAACCGTAATCAGAAATTGTTCGATGGAAGGATAAAAGGAAGGGAAGGACAAACAGGCAACTGATATGATTTTTAATGTGTAAAGTATACCCAACCAACATTCAATAGGAATTAAATCAGGCTTGAAAGTTTCTCAAGTGGGATTTGAGTAGCAAAATTGCCCTACAGCCTATTCAGTGTCTGTGCGGGGACCGTGCCACTTGCAAGTTGATAACTAACATAACCATTCAGTAATATATATGGGGTAATTGATCATACGTTTATAAAACCATGGATATCCTAAGAGTCCTTATAGCTGTCACATAATATGTTTTAATTGTTTCATAATATGCCACTATCCTAGACATGAAGATTATGGCATGATATATTATGCAGCTTCTGCACTGCGCTATTCAAACTATGGTTTGAACAACTGCACATCAATCAAAATGTAAACTTGCATTACCTTTCCACCAGACACAAGTCTGAGTCCCTGGTGATCATACTGTAAAGCTGTCACAGCTGATTTATGCCCACTGAATGTGATTGTTTTCTCCCCATTCTGTAAATTAAACACACAAACTTTCCCGTCATTGTAGCCTACAGCTAGATGCTGTTTGTCTGGCGATCCTGCTAATTTAGTTACCTCATGTCTCTCTCCTTTTAATGTGAAAAACTGAAACATAGAAAATAGGAAATAAATATCTTCATAACATATTCCAACATTTTATTTGTGATTCTTTAAACACCAAAACATGAGCTGATAAATCTAATGACTTTATAAGCTGAACTCTTCATAAGCTATGCTTCATAATGCTCTTTACATATGGTATTATATTTAAAACTGAATTCAATTATGATTGACCATTTAAATGTATTACAGCAACTAAACTGTGACGTGTCACTATATCTGTCAAGTATATTAACAACAAGACATTCATCTTTATATCTAAAACATGATTACTCCGTAAATAGCTAGTCTATTGCTGCTCATCTATTCTTACATTTAAGGAAAGAAAAAACAAAAATGTATGAAAAATAGACATAGTACTGTAACCATAACTTTTATCAAGACAATGCCAAATCATTTTCTGGAATCCTGCTAGTGTTCAAGGTATTATTAAAATGACAAAAAATAAGGGATATTTAACATTGATTTTAGCCAGGCTCATCTCTTTGATGGTGATTTGACTTCAGTTCCAATTATTAGAAACTTACTTCACTGTTCTTTTTACAAGAAACTTAATTATTTTAAACTTACTTCATTGTTATTTTTACAAGAAACTAACCTTATCTCCAGTACGTATATCCCACACTATGACATCTTCACAAGCACCTGTTGCACAGTATTTACCCTGGCTCCCGGCAGTATTCAGGAAAACAATGTTCGACTTATTTCCAGCTATTACCCCAAATACTTCAGCAGAGGCATAGCGAAGATATTGTTTTGTTAATCCCATGATATTATCTCATCTTATTCTACAAAATTGTAATATAAGAAGTTTAATAACATTATTATGAACACATTTTTCATTAATTAGGATATCTGTGGAAAAATTTAACTCGTAAAAAGGTAAGCAGTATGTTTGATTTGAATGCTCTCATTCAAACAAACATCTAGTCCATATCTTGGTTACTGATAAAATATATATAAATATGAAAATATTAATTTAATAATACTGACACAGTTATTCAAAAGGTAAAAATGTGAGTGAAATTTTATCAAGTCATTACACTGGTTTCGGTTGATAAAGTTCACGCCTGATAAATTGCATATTAAAATGAATGCAGGAATTTCAGTTTTTTCTGTGACATCATGAAATGGAGTCAGCAGCAAACTAGGATAGCTAGAAAAAACAAAAAAAAATCATGATTTATTCCTACATAGGTATGCGATTTAAAAAAGTAATTGCTGGTATTTGATGCATTCGAAATGGCCTGATAGATTATTTTATTTTGATCCATTGTTTTGTTGATTTGTCAGTGGTAAATTATGTTGGGGCAGACTTCCTGAAAGTCTGAAAAAAAGTGTCTACATTCTGCATGACAAAACCTTGAATTTTGTCAGACGGACAAAAAATCTGTCAGACCGACACATTTACAGAAATATGAAGACAAGCAAGGTATTAAACAACATTTTCCCTTTATTTCAATGATCTTTAAATTGAACTCAATCCCTTTGATACATTATTTAAGTTTAAAAGATCATCTGAAAGTCTAAACATTTATCATCCTTATCAGAATCTGCATCCTTTATTGCACATGATGTTGACTTCCATGTAAAATTAAACATATGATAATTCAGGATCTTCTACAGCAGTAACATGAAAATTTGAACATCCAGTTTAATATTTAAATGTATTATTTCTTTTTTTTTGTGTGTTTTTCAACATACTGGCCCCTATACTGTACAGGAGGAACAGCGAATTTCGTTTTTTATATTGTCATTCCCTTGCTTCCATTGGCTTGTGTTTTTTTTTTCATACTTTTATCTTTTCGTTTCTTTCTGACCATGTTTATTTTCTCTCTTTTTCCCATAACACTTCAAACATGCCATGTTTACTGTGTCCTGTAACTGCTGATTGTACAGCTATCGGCCATGGGTCTATTTCACGATATTGACCAAGGAAAATAATTTTATGTAAGTTAATGCGGTTCTCAAGAGTTATCTCGCTAGCATCAAGCAAGGAATTCGTCAATATTAGTCTCCCTTTGGGCTGAAGAAAATTATCATAACGTCTGACCGACTTCAGCTTAAAAATAGTCGGAACATGTAAAAATATGTCGGTCATGCATGTCGGTACGCCGGCTTTCAGGTCCAGATCAGGACAGGAGGATAAATGTTAAGATTTTCAGGATGATCTTTTAAACTTAAATAAACTGATGCTGTTTAACAGGGATTGAGTTTAATTTGAAGATAATTGAAATACAGGGTAAATGCTGCTTAATATCTTACTTGTTTTCATATTGTTGTAAGGAAGTGGCTAGCCGTACGGGCCCGTACGGCTAGCCAAAAGTTCTAGCCGTACGTGAGTCACGTACGACTAGCCTGGACACACTGTATTGGCTAGCCGTACGGCACTTTTCAAAAATATATGGAAGTCGAAAATGCATATGTTATTTTGTGTCTTTAAACGACGATTTTAATCAAATCTCCGCATTTGTCCTAGTTTGTTCACTTTAATAAAGATGCTCCGCAATTTTGCAAAAAAAAATGAATACGAGTAAGCGTTGTATAATCTATCTTAATAAAATTAAGTGTCAAAGTTGCATGTTATAACGTCCTTAATTTTCATGCTTATGATTTGTATGAAAGATGAATTGTTAAATCTGTTAATTAAGCACATGGATCGAATAAATAATGATCGGAGGGGAATAAATAAATAAAAAGAATATTAGAAAAAACGATGAAAAGGAAAAATAATTTAATAATGCAAACTTTCCTTAATGATGGACGATGGACAAACTTCTATACCGACGGTAATTGACGCAATTATCAGAACCCAACAACAATTATTTTCGGTGTTTTTTTTTTTTTTTCAATTTAAAAATTAAACATAATGAAACAAAAAAGGATTATTATCAAAATTTTGTAAACTATTTCAATTGGTGTTATTTAACTGCAACCAATCGCTTTTTTTTTCTCGACGTCTTGAGATGACAAAGTACATTCTTTACTATAGTCAACGCGTCGATTAATCTCTAAAAAGTAAACATTCTTGACTAAAATTCTCGCGTTAAGTCATGATTAATTAACATATGCACTTCCGCCTTCCATATATTTTTGAAAAGTGCCGTACGGCTAGCCAATACAGTGTGTCCTGGCTAGTCGTACGTGACTCACGTACGGCTAGAACTTTTGGCTAGCCGTACGGGCCCGTACGGCTAGCCACTTCCTTGTTGTAAATGTGTCAGTCTGGCAGATTTTTTTGTAGGTCTCACTGTCTGTCTGACAATTTTTTCTGACTTTCAGGAAATCTGGCTTCAGACAGATTTTTAAGTCTAACCCCAGATCGCGTACAAGCTTTTAAATGCTCAAAGCCAAGGTGAATCGACACATATTTTTTTTTTCTTTTTGTACGAAACTAGTTTTGTCCGACTACAGAATCCAAGTTTTCGTCTTCACAACTAGGGGAAATAAATATTTTTCACATAAACTTTAAAACTTACCGGAATATATAATTTGGTAATTAAAAGGATTGAAATGATGTTTAGATGAAAAACAATTAAAAGAAAATCAGCAAGAAAATCCCGAAAATCACATGTTTCCGGTGTAAACAAAATTTAATTAGCGAAATGACTATCAAAAGCGGAAAGGTTAACTAAATCCGGGGGTCTCACTAAAAAGCGTCCCAAAGAAATTTAGCGTCCCGAAGCGTCCTGAAGCGTCCCCGAAGCATTATTGTTAATTTAAACAGCCAGAAGGGTTATATTTATTGTAAATGAGCTATATTATTATGTCCTGAGGTATTTATGGTAGAAAAAAATAATCTTAATTAACATTTTTTCTATTTATTTACCATTTCGTATTTGCAACAGCATGGATCCTGATCAGACTGCGCGGTCTGGATCCATGCTAGACGCAAACCCATTATGTTGGCTTTGTCGTGACACGGCTCAGTTTTATGACTGTTGGTGCAAATTAAAAACCAACAAAAATGTATCATGTTTTTGTTGTAAATATGCATACTGGAATGTATATATTGAATCAATTTTGAAAACTTTATTACACTTTTTTTCGAATCTGATAAGAAGGGAATATGTAGGGAATAAGCTGAATTCAAACAGCCGGGCCAAGCTCATTATTATACTTGATGACATTTTTTTATTGATTAGTATATACACGATATCCAATCTGTTGAAGCAATCAAGTTAAACCACATATGGTGATGTATATGTCTTATGATGCTCTTACTAGATACGCTGTAAAACAGCTTTATGTTAACATTATAGTTTTTGTAGACACAAGCCCGAGATCATTCCTTATTGACTTTATAATTGTACCATTTATTAAAAACATATTTAATTTAACAACTTTTGAACATTAATCTTAGTGATACATCTCTAAATAACTCAATGTATTTGGTTTACAAGCACCTGCTACTCATTTTAACTCTCATGGGAGTCTGTATCTTTTTAACTTGAACAATTCTTGTAATCGTTAATAAACTATTGATTATTGATTACCCACGTACATGTATTTCGAGTTTATTGAACATTTTTTTCCCTAACGTAGTGATTTTCACATGTATATATGTTGTACAAGTTATACGCCACAACGTTTCCCCATTGCAATATCATAGAGTAAAGGTGTGTAGCGTAATGGTAAGGGTGTTCAGATTAAGAAATTGCAATTGGTCTGTAGTGTTCTTCTTTAATTGCGCAAACTTTGACTAGCTAGATTACATCTTCCCAAATTTTGAGTTCATTTTTTTTTGCTGAAATGTTTACTTTATATTATCATGTAAGTGGTTCATATTCTCTTTTATAAACATTATTATTTATCATCACATAGTTTTAAACTTTATTGTTTGGTGTTCATTGTTTTGAGAAAAAAAAAACCTCTCCAACAAAAAATAATGTTTCGCCATTGATTCAAGCGAATCGTGAGAAGAAGTTGGCATTTTATAGTCGAGAATACCATGATGTGGAACTGGGAATGGTATCTAAACACTAGCGATATTACATACAAAAATGTGTAACACACTTGCTTGACATCAAGTAAGACCGCTGAGTTGCAAAAAAAAAAAGTGTGCACTTGTTTACAGGGAAATTTTGTAAACTAAGCATGTTTGGTATCAAAATTTGTAGAAATATTCACTACACGATGGTTTTCATACAATTGAAATTTGATACATGTAATCATCAAGACTTTGATTACAGCTGAGAGGTGAAACACTAAAAGTTCCTTTTTATTTATTTGCGCTTTTTTGCCTTTGGATTATTGAATATTTGAATGGAATATCATTCAAACAGAAGTTCATATGACGTTATTTCAGGTCCAATGAATACTGAACACTTTCGTCGACCCATGGATCTATAAATAAGTTAAACGCCACATATACCGATTAAAGGTCACATAACAAGTCACAAAATCGTGAGGAAATCATAATTTTGGAACTTTAACTTTTCATCCTTCCGCTCTTTACAAGAAACCAAACTTATGATAATTATCAAATTTTCATACAAATCAAACCACTGTATAGCCAATACTTCTCAGCAAATATTGATACAAAATACAAAATTTTCCACTATTTACTCGTGTATGTTTACAGAATTTGCAAGTAACCAAGTGCACACTTTCTTTTGCAACTGAGTATATTTGTGAAATAAAACAAGCGTGTGAATGTTTCAGTAAACTTTATTTTATACCGTTAATTAAGGTACACTAGTATAATAGAATGTTTTATTAATTATTGTATTTCCATTTTATCGTATTGTTTTATTGTTAATTGTTTTTTCCCTTGCTTTTGCAATTAACAGGCGTTTTTCCTATTGACCATTTTGTGTCGCATCCGCCTTTACAGTAGTCTGCTCTGAAATGCAAAAGTCAAAGTCAAAATTTTATTTGCAATTCGGCAAATACAAGTATCTGCCTTTGGCAATACAAGCATGGATATACATATAAGCCGCGTCATGACAAAACGAACATAATGGGTTTGCGACCAGGATCCATGCTGTTCGTTTACAAACCCTATTACAAGTAGAGAAACTGATAGCGAACAGCATGGATCCTGGTCAGACTGCGCGGAGGCGCAGGCTGATCTGGATCCATGCTGGTCGCAAACCCATTATGTTGATTTTGTCATGACGCGACTATTATGGCAAATACACAATAATAAATATAACAAAAGCAAACGTTTTATTGAATAATAAAGCATGTGCATGTATTGTGTTTGAATTATTTTAGGTATATCGAAAATTTAATACAAATCAAAGCAAAGAACTAAGTTTTTTTTTCTCTGAAATGCAAATACTTGAAACATTCATAGGCTGCATGTTTTCTTTATCATTTTTTTCAATAACATCATTTACTTTATTGTATAAAAATTTGTCTAGCGGAAAACAGTTATTGTACAAAATTTAAAGCCAGATTATTTGTGAAATAACTCATAAAAGCAGCTTGGCACCAGCTTGTGTCTATAAAAATGCAAGATTTAACCTTTATCCCTCCCGATTTGTGAAATATTTAAAGGTGAAGTATTTAAGAGGTTTAATTCGACGATATTTATACAAAACAAATTTAAAACGGCATGTATTTACAATTTTTTTGGCAAGACATATTTTAATTTAATGGATCTTGAGTTGCTATTTTTATTTTTTTAAAATACGTACTCGCATGTTGCATCAGGGTGTTTTGGACACTTCGCATTGTTGCAGGGGTCATCCAAACAAGATACCGGTTTTGGACAAGCTTTTCCCTCTGCTGGGTGTATTTCTAAATTCAATTTACAAATTGTGTTATTATTTAATTAAATGATTTGCCTGACTATTTACTTTTTTCAACGCATATAGCTGACATTTAAAATTCTTAATTGAAATATGTACGAGCAATTATTATACGAAGCAAATTAATAATCTTACTGGAAAACAAAATGCGCTATGTTGAGAAAAAAGGAAATATGTAGATCTAGTATTAACCTTTTTTTTCGAATATATAAAACTGAATTTATAAAGTGATTAATGAAGTTATATAATTTAACAATAATTCAAACATAAAGAATTATCTTGAAGTGACTAGTATAATTACTAAAGAACAGAACAAAACAGAACTTTTATTTTTGATTTGTTTATAGTACAACATCATATACAATAAATGATATATGACAATACATATTTTCATAATGTAACATGTACACATGAATAACGGCTACCGTGGTATATCAACATTTTTTATAGTTCCACGAAAATGCTGATCATTTATAAAATGATAACGACAAGAAAGAGGTTTTTTTTCTATTAAATTCCATCTTGGTCGGTGAAATGTAATTACACTGTTAGAAATTTTATGTGAAGTTAACGTATGTTGTAATAAATCATTTGAAATTATTTTAAATTTATATCACAAAAATACAGATGCAAAATAAATGCACCGCATCATACAAATATATCTTTTTTTGTGGCGGCATGGCCGAGTGGTTAACGCTTCGGACTAGTAATCTTATGATCGCTACCCGCATAGGTTCAAACCCTGACAGAGGCAAGTCGTTGTTTCCTTGTGCAAGAAACTTTACACTCATTGCTCAGTACTGGTTGGTTCCAGGAACGGATTCGAAAGTGTGTTTATAAGCTAATAGCTTCCTACACAATCGAACTAAAATAAATTCTGTATAAACCAAATATATATATTTCTTATTGAAACTGATGTGACAAACTGAAAGATTTCCATCATTTCCATCAAAATACGATGACATGCAAGACAAAATTTTGACTTCCAATATTTTTTTATACTATTTATTAATAAAAAGAGTGTAAAAACAGTAACTTACCCACAAACATGGAAATAACCACAATAAATAAAAGTAATTTCATAGTTATAAGTATTTTTCACGTCCTGTATTTTGAGAGATTATTTTAATATGAAATATCCACGTATAAGAAGAGTAATTAACGCGTAACAGATGTAATAAAGTAAAGATAACACAGTAAGATACAAAAGTTCAAAAACCTGATAATTTGTAACATATTAAAACAATTGATTATAAATGTAAATACATTTTAATCACGGAAAGACATAACTTTTGTTACAAAAATGGTATAATCTATACTGAGGTTAAAGATCCTGTATGTTGTAATTGAGATTTGGTTTAAACTGTTATACCACGACATTTTTTTCAATGGTAATGTAGCAAAACTTTTAAGTAGTTTCATATAATTTATAATGTTTCCTACACATATATGAATGCATCAGAAATAACTGTAGCGTGTGAGATTCGAACTCATGCCCAGTTTCATGCAACAACACTTGTTGTAATTGAGGTTGTATACCACAAGTAAGTGAAATTATATATACATGTATATAATTATGTAAAATATGCAATGCAAATATTTGTACATATTATATGTAATCATTAAAATATATGTATTCATTTCTTATTGAAAAATGTGTCTTAGACTTTATAGAAAATAAAAACTTTTTAACCTCCCTTTATTTACATGAAATGTTAAATTGCTGCAGGGCATTCTAAAATATTGAGTCAAAATGCGTTGCTGGAATGCTCACTCATAAATATAGTGAAACAAATATTCTTTTGCAATGCTTAGCTATCAGGGCAATCTTGTACAGCATTCATAAATATCGTGTAAAATGTTTTGCTGGAATGCTCACCTGGCTTGGGAATCAAGCGGGGCATTCTTATATAAAGTATAAAACTGCTCTGCTGAAATTCCGAGCTGGCGGAGCAATGTCGCTTGGCATTCCTAAAAACAGAGAGGAAATGCGGAGCTGTAATGTTCAGTTTGCAGAGCAATCTAGCAGAGCGTTCTAAAATATACAGTAAAAAAGTTCAGCTTGACTGCTCAGCTGGCAGAGCAATATAGCGGGACATTCCAAAATTATGCAAAATATAGTGTAAATATGCTATGTCGGAATGCTTAGGTGGCTAGGCAATCTAGCAGGGCCTTCTTAAATATAGTACAAAATGCTCTGCCGCACTGACAAATTGGCAGAGCAGCCTAACGGTGCAGTCTTAAATATAGCATAATGAATGTTCTGCTGGAATGTCAAGCTGGCAGAGCAATCTAGCGGGCTTTCCTAAATATATTATAAAATGCTCTGCTAGAATGCTCAGCTGGTAAATTTGTCTTGCAGGAGATAGAGAAGATAGTAGATATTACTCCTCCTTTACTCCTTATAAATCCTCTTTCGCTCCTAATGCCTTTGAAAATGTCATTTTTGTTGCCTAGATCTATTTCACTGGTCTAAGACTGTTTCTGATATCCTCGCAGAATTTCAGGATTTTTTAGTGTCAATGCATTTATAACCTTTTGTGGGTTCTAGTAACCCTCAGGTGTCTATTTCGTTGGTCTTTAGTAATATTTGCGCACAGGTATTCCAGCAGAGTATTTTTTACTGTCTATTTTGGAATTCCCAGCTAGACTGGTTTTCTAGATAAGCATAATACTATCTATTTTGGAATGCCTAGCTAGACTGGTTTTCTAGATAAGCATTCCATCACAGCATCTTTTACACTATATTTAGGAATGCTCTTATATATTTCTCTGCCAGCTGAGCTTTGTATCCGACCATTTATTGCACTATATTAAGGAATGTCCCTCTAAATTGCTCTGCCAGCTGAGCATTCAAGCAGAGCATTTTTACACTAGTTTAAGAAATGCCCGAATATTACAGTATATTTCAGAATGCTCTGCCAGCTGATCATTTCAGCAGAGCATTTTCACACTATATTTTGGAATACCCCGCTATAAAGCACTGCCAGCTCAGCATTCCAGCAGAGCATTTTTGCTCTATATTTTGGAATGTCCAGCTAGATTGCTCATCTAGCTAAGCATTAAAGCAGAGCATTTTTACAATGTATTAAGGAATGCATGTCTAGATTCCTCTGCCAGCTGAGTATTGCAGCAGAGCATTTGTTGCACTATACTAACGAATGCCCCGCTAGATTGTCTCTAAGCTTAGTATTCAAGCAGAACATTGATAACACTATATTATTGAATGTCCCGCTAGATTGTTCTGCCAGTTTGGTATTTCAGCAGAGCATTTTATACTATATCTAAGAATAACCCGTTAGATTGCTAAGCCATTGTAGCATTCCAGCAGAGCATTTTTACTACTCTGCAAGGTGAGCTTTGCAGCAGAGCATTTCTTGCACAATATTTAAAAGTGCCTCGCTAAGTTATTTTTAGCCAGCCGAGTATTCCAGCTCAGCATTTTTCATACACTATAAGAATGCATGTCTAGATATCTTAGCCTTAGCATTGCTGCAGAGCAATTTTACTCTATATTTAGGAATTCCCCGCTAGATTGTCCAGACAGCTGCATATTTTAGTAGAGCATTTATTTTGCACTATATTTTGGAATGTCTTGCTATAGTGCTAGCCAGCACATCAGTTTTACTCCATATTTTAGAATTGTCTGCTACATTGCTCTGCCAGCTGAGCATTTTTGTTCTCTGCACTCTGTACTGCCAACTTCTCACATAGACTGACTATATAACAACATTTTAACATCAATGGCAACATAAAGTATTTGGCATAAAGGTTAAGTTAAAAAAAAGTTCTCTAAACCCAGGGTTTTTTTTAAAAATATTTGAAAGACCCTGCTTAAACCGTAGAAATAATGCAATAAGTTACAAATACAATAGGATACAAGAATGACTATTAGTTACAAGTTACAAGCAAGAAAGCATATACTTTATGGAGACCGTATCTGGCTTCCTTAAAGCAGCACGCCTCCAGATTAATGCTTATTTTCATAAATATTTTGAAAAAAATAGCATAATATGTATATTAACTAAAAGGAAGTAATTTACACGTTACCAATGGCACTTACAGCCGACGTTTATTACAAAAATGTCAAAATAGGCAAATATTGCCCTTACTGCGTTAGTAACACAGTAGAAAAATAGTTACACATAACGAAAAAATAACCATTAATAGCCCATAACATCTAAATTATTACTCGAATCTTGAATCTTTCTACTTTCTCTAAACTCTTAGTGCATTTTTGAATTTATCGAAATATTTTCGCTTATCTATAGGCATGCTGCTTTAAGTTAGATTAAAGTTGGATTAAAGGATGGAAATAATATGCCGGTGGTATATGTTTTGCAGATATTATCAAGCAAGCGTCGGAGTTTTGTGATGTATTCAGAGATTTGTACATTTTGATATTTATAGCATGATGTCATTCTTATGTTGTCCATAACATGTGGCAAAAATGTATGTAATGCATTCGTAAACAATTTATCTATTGTAATAATATGTTCATGATAATGCTGCTCAAGTGGTAATTTCGTCGTATTTGAACTATTCTAAGAATTATGACAAATTAACACAAGCTTGAAACAATGGAGGACAACGAATTCTCAAAAGATGAAATGAGCCGTGTCACGACAAAACCAACATAATGGGTTTGCGACCAGCATGGATCCTGTCCAGCCTGCGCGCAGTCTGATCAGGATCCATGCTGTTCGCTTACAGACTATATAAGTAGAGAAACTTATAGCAAACAGCATGGATCCTGATCAGACTGCGCCGGTGCGCAGACTGGTCTGGATCCATGCTGGTCGCAAACCCACCATGTTGGTTGTGTCGTGACTCATACAAGTGTCTCATACAAAATAAAAAAAAGCCATTATATGTTCAAGGAAGTGATGAAAATCACAAGTGCTTTGTATTTATTATAAACAGACTATTGACGTAGAAAAACTGTTCGTATGAGTTATTAAAATGTTTCCAATAATTATCAACAAATTCCTGCTTTACCACACATTTCCAGCCCAGTCCATATTCAGGCGTTGTAATGTCCAATATAATTATCATATATTGGAAAGTCAAGTGTGTTTGACCTTTACCATGTGATGTCAATGATACAAGTCGTTAATGACAATATTTACTATTTAACTAAATCATTTCGTTTTGTACCTTGCTGTACTGTCGTTGCACAATTGCATTATTTCTAAAAATGAGTCGCGTCATGACAAAACCAACATAATGGGATTGCGACCAGCATGGATCCAGACCAGCCTGCGTTTCCGCGCAGTCTGATCAGGATCCATGCTGTTCGCTTACAAACCCTATAATAGGTAGAGAAACTGATGGCGAACAGCATGGATCCTGATCAGACTGCGCGGATACGCAGGCTGGTCTGGATTCATGCTGGTCGCAATCCCATTATGTTGGTTTTGTCGTGACGCGGCTCAAATATCTGTCTAATGACAAAACCCCCTTTCAGAAACACGTCTCCATATCCATGCTTATTTTTTATGATTTTTTAAAAAAAAACGTATGACAAAGTAAAATATTGTCAAGTGAACAGAGAAAGTAATTAGCACATTACGAACTGCACTTAAAATGTTCGAAATTACCAGTTATAGGTCACAATATGTAAAAATAGCCAATAACAAGTCACTCAGTAGAAACTTTTTTGATAAATACTGCAAACTCCGTCATTAATTTCATAAAACATGAACATTTTTTCTGACTTTTAAAGATCCTGTATATTGTAATATAGGTTGTTACCACACTTAAGTGAAACTTTATATATATGCTTCTAAAACGGTTTTCAAACATCGAAGAATATGTAAAATTCATACTGCAAATATTTGTTCACATTATATGTAATCATTAAGATATATGCATTCATTTCTTATTGAAAAAAATGATTTCAACTTTATAAACATAAATCTTAATTTAATTAGCTCCCTTCATTAACATGAAAATATAAATTCGGTAATATCTTTACAAATAATGCTTTTTGAACTTACACTATTGATAAATCTGTTTGTATATTTTTATGATATAAAACCATTAAACATTGAGTTACAGGATCTTTATTAATGTTTTATTTTTCTTCAAACTTAAGTTCACTTTTCTCAAGAATGATTTGGCTCATTTTTAGACATGCAGATTTAAGCATAAAGCTTTCTTCCATTATATGTATTGATAATAAGACTTTGAAATTGCTGTGGTTCATAGATTAAAAACAGTCATAGCATATTCTTATCGGTAAAGTTTGTACTTTTTTCCCGAAAGAGTATAAAATTATTTGGATTAACTTTGTGTTGTTGTTGTTTTGTTTTTCTTATTGAATGTCTGCAGGTTCAGTACTGAATTTACTCAACAAATTGAATAAAATTATAATATGTGAGACTCTGGCGAGCATAATATTATTTTACTTAACGAGTTCAATAAATGTAGTAATGAACCTACACTAATATAACATTCTATTTATCACATACCCAAACTAAATTGAAAAAGAATAAAAAAATAAAATATTTCATTGACGAGCTTTTAGTGTAACGCTGACATTTTGCGCGTTATAAGACTATTTAAAGCTATATACCTTCAGATGACCCAAAATATTTCAAGAAAATCAAACTTGGAAAAACCATACTAAAACTTTGAGAAAAGTGAACAAATTAAAGATTCAAGTGATAATTTATATCTTATGTGCAATTAATGACTGTATTTTGTAGTATTTATTACCATATTTCTACTGCGTTACTAACGCAGTAGGGGCTATTTATGCATATTTTGACCTCTTTTTTGGTAATTTACTGGATTTTAAGTGCCGATTGTAATGTGTCAAGTATTTTCTTTGTTCATTTCACAATAGTTTACCTTTAAATACATTTTCAAAATTTTCATGAAAATTAGGATGAATCTGGAGGCGTGCTGCTTTAATGTCCAACTTTATTTGTCATCCAATGAAACGCTGTATTTCTTAAAAATTCTGTGTGTTAATTTTCATAGAAGAACAAAAGTCGATACTATATTGAATTCCGTTCATATTCACCTTGTATTTTTCATAGTAATTCTTAGAACAGCGTAGTGACGTAATAAAGTGGATAATAATGAGGCCAAATAAAGTTTGACACTAAGTATGTTAGTATTCATCCGTAGCTGTTCTACAGAAATTAGAAACTATTTCCTGTCGCTTTTGCTCCCGTCGAAGTTTCTAATTTCTGTAGAACAGCACGGATGGACACTAACATATACTTATTACACTTCCGTGCCGATTTTGCGACTTCGTAAAAATGGTATTGAACGGTCGTGCATATATTTTGACGCGACGTCATTAGCGTTTTACAAACATATAATAGTGTAATGCTAGTGTTATACTATAGGCGCGTCAATGAAAAATGATTCTGTATCACTTTTAAACGGTCTTTATTTTTAGATCGGACAAATAGAATATTAAATTCGTGTAAGTTCATTACTAAATTTATTAAACTCGTTGAATAAAATAATATCATGCTCGCCAGAGGCTCGCTTAATATAATTTTATTCAACTCGTTCAATAAATTCAGTAATAAACTTACACTCATTCAATATCCTCTTTTTAGTCTAGGCCGTGACGTTCATAATGTAAAACAGACATGATATAATTATATTAATGAGATGCACACGTTTAGTATCAGACTGCTTTATTTAAAATAAAGTATGTCGTTATGTCATTGCCAATTGTTCATATGTACTTTATTGTGATTTTAGAATTCTTAAAATCCGCTCCTATATCTAAGAACCTCTTAAATCAATTATGACTTTCATGGAACGTCAAATTGTTGTAAGTGGTTACGAAGAAACAACTGTATACAGTGAAACAATTATATCTACTTATTCTTTTTCAAGTTCTTTTGAGTACCTTAGAAGGGCTGTTCAGAAAGTAATCGGTGTAGATAATTTGTTAAGATGGTGATGAATGTATGAAATTTATTTGAAACATTTCCGAGTTTCTAGATCTACTGAAAGAAATTGTGACTGTATGTCTAATGATTACAAGATAGATGTGAGCCGCGTCACGACAAAACCAACATAGTGCGTTTGCGACCAGCATGGATCCAGACCAGCCTGCGCATCCGCGCAGTCTCATCAGGATCCATGCTGTTCGCTCGCTTACAAACTCTATAACAAGTAGAGAAACTGATAGGGAACAGCATGGATCCTGATCAGACTGTGCGGATGGGTAGGCTGGTCTGTATCCATGCTGGTCGCAAACGCACTATGTTGGTTTTGTTGTGACGCGGCTCATATCATTCAAGGTGTATTAGATAAATTTAACACCAAAAAATCCTCAATCAACTTACATCTCTAATGATTAAACATTGGAAACCAAATAAACAATATGAAAAATATTTGGATTAATGTACATGGTAATTATATTGTACAAGAGATACGGACAACAATAGCATCTACATTGACGTATATCGAACATTTCGTCCCACAACTGACTACGTTTTTGTTGTTATTTTTATGTAAAGAAACACCAAACGTGCATAACAATGTGTGTTCCATGTTCGATGCCGTATCCACACATTATGTTTTTGCTTCTAACTTCAAAGTTTCACCATTTTCGCATGTATATGTTGAATTAATGTTGACGCCGGTGCTAGAGGGGTTAAGTTTAATACTGCTTACACCGGTGCTAACGGGGTGAAGGTGTGAACGGTAGCTGCCGATGCTAGAAGGGTAAGGATGTGAACGGTAGCTTTCATTTATCACTTTTGTCATCGGATAAATCCTGCAATCTAATTTTGTGAGTTCTTTTTGGAGTTCGTTAGATGCCAATAAATAAATGAATAAATAAAGAAATAGATAAATAAAAAAATGAATGAAGAAAGGAAGGAACGAAGAAAGGAACGAACGAACGAAGAAAGTAAGGAAGGAACGAATGGATGGATGGATGGATGAACGGATGGATGGATGAACGAATAATGAATAAATGAATGAATGAAGGAATGAATGAAGGAAGGAAGGAACAAAGGAACGAACAGAGAAAGGAACGAACGAACGGACGGACGGACGGACGGATGGATGGATGGATGAACGGACGGACGAATAATAAATAAATAATATGCAGAATACTTTTTAGTTACAACTTACAAGGTTTATAAGTGTGTCAAGTTAACACGTCTTCTAACAAATAAGTATGTTATTTTTATTCCAAACTTTGTAAGAGTTATTTACATATAAAGTGTAAGTTTTACAAAAGCAGAAAATGACAATCATATTTATTAAATATAACATTTTATATTTCCAAGCAATTCAAAGTACTCGTTTGACTTTTGTAAAACTATAATACATTTATTCTATATTTTCCCTGACAACGTTAAAGGAAAAAGTTACTTTTTGTAAACCCCCATCTGAATGTGACAGCTATATATTTAAAGGAGATCACAGGCACGAACAGATAGTTCTGTAAGGTTTAAAGATGTCTCGCATCTCCGTTTTATTCGTCTTTTTCTTCTATGCATTTATGTGTTTCGGCCTAACGATTTCGCAGTCTCAAATAGACAATCAACGAAAGATTCACCTTTTACGGAGTGATCTCTCGAAGTTGGAGAATTTAGTACGAGTCCTTCAAATTGGCTTTGCTGAGGAAAAACAATTCACCGGAAAGAAATTGGATGTTAATCATGAGGCTCGACTTATATTAGACAACGAGTTACTTAAACTAGAACAGAAACTTGCTCAAAATGAAAATGCCATTGCGGAATTGTCGTCAGGACTAGAACAAAGCCGAGAGTTTTTAAGAATGCTTTGTGATGAGACATGGGAATTGTACGGGCTGTCATGTTACAAAGTCTTTAACGACGAAGATGCGTGGCAGGATGCTGTTGAAAAATGCAAATTAGAAGGTGCATTCCTTGTAGAAATTGGCAGTTCGAAAGAAAACGACTTTGTAATCAAACTATTCAATCAATCTATTGCAACTGTCAATTCAAGTGATGCATACCAAGGACCTTGGATTGGTGCTTCGGATATCCAAACAGAGGGAGAATGGATATGGCAACATAATGGTCGAAACCTGGAAACTGGATATCAAGAATGGCATAAGGACGAACCAAATGGTAACACCACAGAAAACTGTTTACATTTACTTGAAACGGCAAATTTAAAATGGAATGACAGTCCATGCGGTTATGATAAACCATATGTCTGTGAAAAATCTGTCAATCTTAAATAACACGTTGTTCATGAATAAAGGCATTGGACATTGTATAAAGAATCGTGCCTTATCATTTGTTTTCTCTATATATGCTTATATGTAATTGTAAAGGTATAAGGAAATTTTGTATTAAGATATGAAAATCTTATTAAAGCACTATTGTACTCAGATATGCAGTATGAATAATCTTTTTTAGTATTTAGAGTACAAAGCACGTTAGCATCCAACATTTATACTTAAAAATGGAGGAACTTGAAATAACTGCTTTAATCATTTAAAACGGGCAATGACTTTATGAATGATATTTTAAGTTTGAAAGTAAAAGTAATGATATGTCACTACTTTATATAATACTTGTAAAATATCAAGATGTTATATCACATTGCTGAGTACAATATTGAATTCTAGTGGACGAGTAAACAGCTGTAAAATCTTTATATTGGATGAGACAGTAGCCAAATCCAATGCTACTGATAGATTCTTAATGACCGCTCAATTTCATACCACCAATATCTAAGAAGAAAATAAATCAAATATAATAAAACTGGTATTACAGTATATCTGAAAAAAGACTACATTATGGCTTTGATATAAAACGTTTTGACTCAAAAATGAAAATGAGACTAGGTAAAATATATATAATATGGATTTGATAGACTTGATATGTATTTTTTGCGGACTTGGAAAATGAATACGCGACCAGATGGAGTATAATACGAATATGATACCGATTTTATGGACTCGGAAAATGAAACTGAGACGAAATTGAGAAAAAAACGCTTTATAGTGGTTTATAGTGGAAAATCACGTGGTACAAATGCTGGAGGTTAAGAGGTTACTATTTATAACGTTTAAAATTTAAAAAAAAAGTGTTATGGTTATATATGTATATCAAGGAAATCAAGCTATGCATGTGATAAAATCTCTCTTTTTTTGGTTATGGTGGTTATGGAACGATTTTTATAGATTTGCTTATTTTAATTATCATTTTTTTGGAGTGTGTGTTATTTGTAAATATCACGTCAACTTGTGTCTTTGTAAGGCTTGTATATTCTTTGTATAATAAAAAATATATAATAAAAATGTAGACTTAGAGAGTTTTAGTTATTGCATCTTTCAATGTCTATTCAAGTGTTAATGTTATTTTAGAATATCAAACTGACACTTTATTACCAGTGTTGATTTGGAAAGAATATGTAGAAGGAAATAACATTCCATATGCATACATCCGAAAAACACATAATAACACTTACTTCTCAAGCGTTTTCAATTATACATGTATTATTTTTAGATGTTACAAGTGCTTAATCATTAGTCTTCTTACCCATCAACATATACATGTAGATGACTTTTACGTAAACGAAGATAAAATAACTAAAAGATCAATTTTGGATCAACAAGGTCGTAAAAAGCTAATATTTCTGAGGTAATCATATTTACGGTGTAGGCAATTTCAAATTTTATAAAGGTTCCTTAAATCCGTAATTTAGACTGAAGTTTTGAATATAACTGTATAGAATGCCCTTTCAGAGTTGAGGATATTCGTTATTTATTTAAATATATCCACTTTCCAAGTTGCGAAGAACTTGCGTTTTAATCAACACACGCTCACGCTTATAAGGCGCTGAGAATATCTTGCTTTCTTGTTAAAATGTTTACATAAAATGTACTATTTGGTAGTTTAATATATTAAAAAGTTCATTCCATGCGTACTGGTTATTCGAATTCTATTTTCAATGCAAACTGGAACATTGATAACTTAAGATAAAAAGAAATATATCAAAATTCTTTGAAGCTCCTGAGCGGCAATCGTAAAAAAAAATGTATGACCCTTTTATCTAAGAATAAGTACAAAAATTTAGTGCCATTTTTGTTCGGAACCACCTGTAAATTTTATAAATCTTCCATTTGTAAGAAATCGCTGTGTTATTTCCTTAAAGCTGCAGTCTCACTTGCATCCCGGCAGAGCCCCGGTAGACGTCCGGGGTGAAACGGGAACGACAGGGATACGACCGGGAAGAACCGGAGTATATCCGTAACTCTGCCGACAACGTCCGGGATGATCCGGGTATATCCGGCATTCGACCCCGGATCGAATAAAATATCCAATATCACCGGGGTGTTCCGGGGTGATCCGGGAAGTATAGCTTTGCCGACTTCATCCTTAGCTCTGCCAGGAACGACTGTGGTAACAGCGGGGAAGCACCGTAGCTCTGTCTGCACAAAGCGGGGATGATCCGAGGTATGATGTAGCCGGTAGTGCTACGGTAGAGCCCCGGACCCGTGTTCACAAAGAAAATATCAGGATCAGGATCAAGTGTGATCCTGATTTTATTTTTCTTGTTTATAAAACTAAAGTTGATCGTATTTTGCTAGAATTGAATGGTACATAAAGATAAAATAAAATTTTGCTGATTTGCAAAGAAACAACCCTATTTTGAGATAAAATCCACGTATATCGAAACAAATACAAAAATAATCAGATCAATTTTAGGATCAAAATCAATATTTGGATTAACAGTAAAATTCTCATAAACTTTAAAATAACAATTCATTAATTCTAATATTTTATAAACATGCCATTTCAAGTCCAATGCTATCAAGTTATTATTAAATATTTCATCTAAGAGGAAAAAACAATGGAGAAAATTTGAGTTTTTAAATTTGATCCTAATCTAGATCCTTAAATACATGGCCCGGTAAATGCCGACAGAGCCCCAGTCAATGCTTGCAGAACCCCGGAAGATGCAGACAGAGCCCTGGAGGATGACGATGGATCTACGGTTGATCCGGGTAGAGCCCCGGCAGAGCCCGGTTCATTTCAAAAGAATCACGACAGTTTGCGATGATTGCACTTGTTTGTATCAAAACCCTTCCCCATTTCCCTTCTGTCCAGTCTTGCATATGGATTATTCAGAAAATCATCATGAATTACTTACTAAGATTATATTAAATCAACGTAATCATTTTCGCGCGTTTTCAATCCATCGAGGTTCTACCGGGGCTCTTATCCCCTTCCTGGGCTTTTCCGGGACTCTGCCTGGGTCAACCGGGGCGCTGTCGGTGTCATCCGGGAACGACCGGGGAAGCACCGGCATGAACCGTAGCTCTGCCAAGATGGTCTGGAGCGCATCCTGGGTGGTATATTTGGAATTACCGTAGTGCTGCCGGGATAAGTGTTACCGCAACAATAATTTCACCCCGGATCGTCCCGGATCATCCCAGTAACTTACCGGGGTGGTCCTGGGCTCTGCCGGGAGTAAGTGAGACCGCAGCTTAGCATTATAAACAGTTGGGACAATCGCAACTTTTCGGCCCATTCCGTCAGTCTTCGGATAAGGACTTCGAACTGCACAGAACGGAAACGGTCTTTCGGTCTAACCAACGCTCAGAATATAATGCTAGGAGTTAATGACTATGTTTACACCACGTCCATCTAAATTAAATAAATTTACAGATATATATGTAAACACTACATTATTTATATACTTTCATAAAGGTTGTAGAAACCGAAAGTGCAAAATGCCGGTTGAATTTAATTAATTCAGATTTGTTTAAAACTTTACATTCGTGGGCATTATTATATTGGTTATGATTGTCAGACATATTTTCAATCATAATTTTACCGAAATACACTTCATTTTCCTTTGGATGTCAAATATAAATATCCGTCTAAGATTTCACTCTTTGTTTCTTTTTACATCTAAACCACGTGTCACGTATCAACTCCGAGATTATTATACATAATAGCCGAGGATTTTCCGATTGATATTGTAGACATTACTATGAATTGTTACTATAAGCTTTGCACCTTTTAAAAAACGTTATGTTAAAGAGAAGATGAAACACATTCCAATGATGCAGATTTATATTTTTAATTGAAAACTGAAAATAAACAAAATAAAATATCATTGAAATATGTGAAAAGTATTTATCTGCTGAACGAAATCGCGACAGTTTCGAAGTTAACAGGTGTACGTAAACACTTTATGTTTATTTGATATTCATTTTAATATAGTAACGTGATATTTTTATTTACTTATTTATGTCAGTGATTTCACATAGGTAAGGAGCCTTTTGACGACACGCTCCATCATGCATAGTCTTTGGCTTCGTCTCCAAGAATAAACATAACTCCTGCGAAATCTTACTCGGTTCATTTGGTGCCCATCTGAAGAATGACATTCTTGTTCCGTCGTTGAACGTCCAGTTTGAGTTCACGTCTTTCCGCTGTCCACCAATATGTATATAAGAAGCCAAATTATTTGGAAAATCCATTCCAACAATCGCATCATATTTTGCCTGTGAGTTGATATGAATCAAATGTCCACCCTCTGACTTGCAGTAGTTTTCTGCTTCAGAATGTAATTTTGCAGAGGTATGTAATTTTATACAAAACCTATTAGATGTTGTTTTATAGTCAGACGGACATCGATTCCTACATAAGCGTAAGTCTGTTTCATTTCCCAAAGATGTGTTGACACATTTCCTGGTACGCTGCTTTATTCCAAAATAACGAAAAATGTTTGAAGTACACTTTGACCAAGTTGACCAACCATCACAAGTATGTTGATGGAGATTTTTAATGGCTATTCCAACAGCCTCCAATTTAGCATCGTTTGTTTTCACTCCAACATCAATTAAATATCGAGCGTCAATATCTGATGGAGCGGTGTTGTTAACATAATATCCTTTAGCATTTATCACACAAATAATGATGACGGCAAATTGAAAACGCTGCATCGTATTTGCTTTCGGCTGAACCTAATGTTATAAGAAAATATTTTCCTTTGCACTATTTAGTCTACAAGATTAGGTCTAGGTATGATTTCTTCTGCACAAACAACTGTATTATAGATATTTGTTTTGCACGTACCTGAACATTGTAGAAATTAAGGCACTTCAAAATAAATGTATGCACTGTGTCCATTCATGAAACATATTTATAAGAAGAACAAGTTTACAATCAGGAATAAAAGATTATTTTAACCACTGTTTAAAGAACACAATTTAAACGGATTCCTACTTAAAGAAACTTTAAATGCATTTATTATGATGGCTGATTTGTGCCACTTGTGTTTCCGCCCCGCGACCCCGCCAAGCGGAAAGTCGAGAATTAACAGGTTAAAATGGCGGGACGCGGATCGAAAGCACGCTTATTAGCGAGGGCGCGGAGCGAAGTTTAATAAATAAAACTTCGCTCCGCGCCCTCGCTAATTTGCGTGTTTTCGATCCGAGTCCCGCCATTTTGACTTGTTAAATTGTCTAATAGAAGATATTTAAAACTTACTTCTATATAAAATATAAAAATCTGGTCTGTTGCTTTTTGTTGATGTTTGGAATGATGAAAAACGTATGTACTGAAATAAAAAATACTATTTTGCCTTGCCTTAAATTGAAATTATATCTTCTTAAATGGGAGGGGTGCAAAGTCATTTAAAAAAGGGTTATTTATCAGTACAATACTGTGAATGTTTTCTTAAAAAGTACAGAAAAATATGAGCCCTACACGAAAAAAGTATAACTAATTTGTGACAAATGTCTAGCCAGCTAGCTATATCTGCAATATTTGATATATTGTATATTGCATATACAATTTGTTGGGAAAGAACATCGTATTGTCTTGAGCAACTAATAATCAGGCATCGAACCGATAATCAAAGACTACTGCATTTTAGGAAGGACTAACTGTTTTTACTGCAGCTAGTCAGTCAAACAATACGTTTTATCTGGTCGATGAATATTTGGCAATGCAAATAAAAAATGTCCCGCTTAAAATTCATATGTGAGACCAAAAAACCATCTATTTTCAAATCAATGCTCGTGGCTGGCTATCCTCCGTATGTGTGTAAAGTAGAAGTGATGTTTATTTCTTGTTTTTGTTTTATCTTTTGTGGCGTATGAAATCTTTTGTATTGACAGGTTATTAATCGTGGGTACATTTGTTTGATTTTACGTTTATATTGATTAAAACAAATTCTAAAACAAATTTAAAATGGCCATCATTTGTATGCTATAAATGTAAACGTCCTGTACTGTAATAAAATACTGCTTTGATAAATAATAGTTTTAAAACAAACAAATGATATGTATGTTCCATGAAGTCCTTTTGTCAAGGTAAGAACATTCAATACTTGTTTTTTTTACCCAATTTGCCTTTTTGTTGTTGTTGTTTGAACTTGTTTCTGACTAGTTTGTTGTTCTATATTTCGTAGATAGTGCATAGATATGATTCAGAGGAGACCATATACTGCCCCTTTCACTTGCTATTTAACATGCCCGATGTACAGCAGCGACCTTAATTTCGAAGGTCTGATTTGAAAGACCATTATCACTGTCGACCCTTACACCCCTAGCACCGGCAAGATCGGTGTTCAATTTTCACCACATAAAGTGTTGAAACCAATGATCCTGAAGGTCGAGACAAATATAACAATACTGAAGTTTTATAAAAGAATATAAATAATAAAAATATATATATTAATGTCGGCATTTCTGACCTAAAAAGAAAGTGTTGCAAGATTTTCACTGAAATAGGGTTAAGAACCGCACAGAAACCGTTTTACATTTAATTCTTAGTATATTTCTTTATCAGTTTATTATCTTTTGTAGATTTTTTTCATTGAAACGGCTTCACTTGATCTACGTATGAATTTCTTATGTTATATTTCTAGGCTTCTTTACCTCAGTTGTGGTACTTTAATCGTTGCAGTAAATGTAAACATTTTTATCCCTATCTGAACATGCAATATTGTTTTGATTGTACTTGTATTCATGTATGTATAATGTATTGATTTTCGACCAATTTGTTATTTGTTTTATGTTATGCTTAAATTAACTGTTTTTACACAAAGCACGTGCGTGTGTGATCAACTGTAAATCATTTCGGTTAGGTTGATTAACCGCATAATCAATGGATGTTCCACCCATACTGTATTTCATTAACTAAACCGCAGTTTTTATTGGTTAGTTTATAACAATGAATTAGTATTGTGAGATAAATATTGGAAATTGATTTTTTATCGACTAACATTTCGATGTTTACCCGTGTTTCTATTTGATTTAAACTGATAAATATCTCTTCGATTATTAATGCATTTAGTAATTCAGGATTTGGATTTCATAGAAGTGTATAACTTAGTTTTGAAGCTTTCAATATCATGAATATATAAAGTCGTTTTCAAATGCGATAAAAAACTTTATTGTAGGAAATAGTAAGAAGAATTCATCAATTTAAAAAAGTTAGGATGTTTAACTTTAACTTATTAGCGTTAATTTTGTGTTGCACTTTTGTTAAAATATGGACTTATCATCCAATGTACACAGGCACGAATCAAGTCCGAGTAGGTAAGAAACATTTTTGTTTTTGTTTTTTATGTTCGAATATATATATATATATATATTTTTTTTTTTAATCTGATAAAAATAATTGTCTGGCCTTTTTAAGACTCAGTAGTAACGAATATATCATTACTTGCAAATGAAAAACAGAAAACGTGGGAAGAAAGGGGATGAAATGATTAATATTTTTTTCCACCACTATAACAGTTTCATCACTAACGATATGCAAATGGTATCGAATAGTGATATAAAAGTTTGATCAAATTTGAGATGAAATGGTTGATGAATAGACACAATTATGATAAATAGAGGATATTTAAGTTTTTTCATCGAGTAGTATGAAAATAAATATTTCATAAGTGGCGCCAGTCACGAGTGAAATATGATAAATTTCATACAACAAGATGAAAATAAATCTTGTATTCATAGAAAAAAAAACTTGAATTTTCTGTTAAATATATACATTTTTTTGGTCATTTTTGACATTACAATTTGAAGGGTTGTATATTGGCTGAATTTCGAAGAAAGTAGTCCGGGCAGATATTAGTGAAAATACGGAAAATATGTTTCACTGCAGTAAAAAATATTTTTTACATTGAAAACACGGAAAATGAAAGTACGCATTTTGTTTATTAATATTTCTCAATATTTCATTTATAAGTATATAATAAACGTGTTTATTAGCTATCTTACCCACATTTGAAAAAAAATATCAGAAACGAAATATATGTATTTCAAAAACGATTCATTCAGAGTTAAATACATTTAAGAAAGATTTGATAAATTACTTATTACAATTGAAGGAGCATTATTCGAGTCGCAGCACGAGGCTATAAGTCTAGCGTTCCAAAATGCTGTAACAGAGGTACATGTTGAGTCCAACAGCGTTCCTGCGATAATCTACGACATGGAAATATTGACACCAGATAAAAGCTTTCAGGCCCAAAACAAATGTAATTTTTCTTGATTGTTTGATAATTTTAAGTAATGATTCTTCGTATACTCTTTTCTTGCCGACGATAAAGCGGATTCATTATTGCTGCTTGACTATATGTATATTTATATACCGGAATGATTAAGAATTTAGAGTTTGTTGTTATTTCATAAATATTTTCTTATATTTATAAACATACTTTAATGGATATAGAAAACTAGTGAGTTTGGGGAAAACGATAGGAGTTAAAAATAAAATACATTTATCAGTCTTGCAAAACCACCTCTTGTTACATAACCACTATTTTCACTTTTAATTAAAACATCTACTGGTGATCCATCCACTCATCCATCCACCGATTATAGATAATCAAAATGCATACATATTGAAATATATACAATTAGTTCTATTTTAATCATAAATCTTGGCTTACATAATGCTAAAAGAATGTAGATATTTTCTTTTTTCATTCACATTTTGGTTACAGTGTGTTTACAAATGAAAAGAAGGAATGGTATTGCCGCGGTATTTGGACGAGCTAGTGAAACATCGCAATCTCACATGAAGTTGCTGTGTGACACTACACAAATTCCTTTCATAGAGACATCGTGGAAGGCACGAGATTCCCGTGCAACATTTGCAATTAACTTATATCCGGTCAATGAAGAGCTGAGTAAAGCATTTGCAGACATCGTCAAATACTGGGACTGGAAAATATTTACAGTTATCTATGAAGATGGAAACGGTGAGATATGGCAGTTTAGTTTTGTTTGTACAAATTTATTTTAGTTCGATTTTGATGGAAGCTATAAGCTGATTTAAACATTCTCGAATCCATTCATGGAACTAACCAGCACTAAGCAATGAATGTTAAGTTTCTTACTCAAGGAAACAACGGCTTGCCTTTTTCAGGGTTTAAACCCACGCGGTCAACAATCCTGAGATTACTAGTCCGACGCGTTAACCACTCGGCCGCGAATCATGAAACAATTTGGTTACGATTGTTACACAAATACCCTATCTGCAACTGCACTGTATCGTAAAACGTTATAATATACATGTATATATTTTTACCGTGACAAAAGGCCATTTTGATACAACATTAGCATTTTGTTACGTCTGTAGGAAATTAAAATTAAAATAAATCAAATAATCTATTCAAGTTATATCTATAAAATATTTTTATTTCGGAAAGATTTAGTTACAATAAAAACAATTTGATAATAACCCTAAGTATCAAGAGAGTACTGACACAAAGATTAAAAAAGGTATTATATGTGTTGATAAGGAATTATATTTTCAACTAGGGAGCTTGGGTTTTGAGATAAACTTCCCGATCGTTTGCTATCCTGTCATGAAAGAGTTTGTAAAGAAATGAAAGCAAAATCCATGACAATGACGATACTTATTAAAATAATCTGATTCATGATCCAGCTTAAATTTCTATGTATTCAGTAGGTATAACTCAATTCTTACAGGTTTGATAAGGTTACAAAAAGTGCTTGAAATACCGGGAGGGGATGAGTACAAAATGACAATTAGAGAATTTGAGGCTCCCCAACATAACAGCGATAAGGCGTTGGAAAATCTGCTCGCAGATATGAAAGAGAAAAAAGAATACAGAATCATCATAGATTGTCATGTTACAAGGATACCTAAGTTCCTTGAAAAGGTAGAGTTCGCGGCTTTAATAAAAATAAATCATTTATCCTCAAATCAAAACAGTAATTAGTAAATTGTTTGGCCTTCTCATTAATGAACCTAAAACCTTTGTTTGTAACAATTTATCCAGATGAGTATTGATATCACAACAACAACAACAACAACAAAGAATGATGAATTCGAATCGGAGTCTTAGTTATGGGGAACATTTAAATACTCTTTGACCAAGTTATAAATGACACGATAATTTAAGAAGGAACATACTATGTTTTGATTGCAACATACTTGCTGTAGATGTATTTAATATAGTCTACCTTATTTTTCATTACGTTTCTGGTAAACCATCCTGCTTAAGAGAGTTTAACACTTTAAGTATTTTCATAATTCTATGTATTACGCTGTGCAATGTTTTATGTTTAACACTGAAGAAAGAATGTTTATAATATTTAAGATAATCACTTCTAACTGCCTGGAATCTACAAATAACATGGTCAAGTTTTAAATGTCCTTCATCGTTTTGGTAACGTGGATGATGTATGCTCCCTTATAATACATATTAATTTTGAAACTCATTTGTTTTTCCAGGCCGACTCTATGGGAATGTTGTCGGGGTATTACCATTTTCATTTTACTTCACTGGTATGTTTTTTTATTATTTAAATTTATCAATTTATCAAGCATCTTTTACCTATTTCTTTTTTTATTTGATAAAAAAAAATTTAAGATAATTTTGTTTGTTTTGTGGGATACGTGACCTATACTGACAAAATCAAATTTATAAAAACAACATTTGGTATAATCTAAGATATTGATGTACATATAGAGGTTTTTGTGAGTGCCCAGAGATTTTCGTAGATTCTCCAAAATTAATGTTTTTCTCAAGTTGCATTGCCCACAAATATTGTAATACACTGTATATAATGTTCGGGCCAAGTCATTACATTGCTTGCATATATTAGACACGGGAAACATTCCATTTTTCCCCAATGCTAAACTTTTTACTATTAGTTATTACATATAATAATTACTATATTATTATATGTGATATTTATTTTATTACCCCGAACAAATACGTCATTGGGACAATATTTATTTCTTTTTATTTGTGAAAAAGAACTGTTACCCATGTAACAGTATACAATTTTTAGTCACATGGTATGTAAGGATAACTCTCATTGACCTATAGGAAATTAATATTACGAAAGAAATGAGTAGAGAGGTAATAGAACAGAATACTGCTATGGAAATTAGTAATTCCATGAGATGAGTGAGCGTCCGTTAATGGTTTAAAATACAGATTCAGATTGGCAGTTAAGTGTAATTAAGTCAGTAAATATGTTATAATTGAATCAAGGACAGAACATATAAGGTTTGGGTAATATCCTTTTCTATTCTATTTCACAAAGGTTAATTGCCAATTATATATCAAAGTGGTAGGCAAATGTCATACATGTATTCACCATACTTTAAGAATTTGATGAAATATAAGATGATGAAGTTTAATTAAAAATCAGTGGCTGAATAAAATGTTTTGTACTCAGTTTAATTAAAACCTATTGAATTCTGCTAACCTTTAGTTGTTTATACTTTACTTCTTTTGATAATAAAAATGTTAATAGATTATGAACACGAAAAAGATGAAATATAAGACAGTGAACTTAAAGTTTGATAAAAGCATGGCAAATCAAACCCTGGTACATACTCCGCATGATTAAATTTTAATTAAAAACTGGAAATATGACACGTGAGAGGAGTGCAGACAGGATATATGACAAAGAAATGATAAATACTGAATATTTTATCTATCTTATCTATCAAAGAGACGATGTTAAAACGGCTGACTTTACAACAATAAAAAATAAAGTTACAATACTTATCTTTTAAAACAAATACATTGCAAACAACAAGTAAGCATAAAATTTAATACTTTATGCAATCGAAATTATGTCTTTATTTCATTAAAACATATTCAATACACTCTTTAAATATATTACAATACTGATATTTAGCCATGGTTATTTAGAACTTTTAACAGAGATAAGATGTGATAATTATTTGGTTTTCTTTGTAACAAGGTCACTTCTAAAGATTGAGTGTATAGTGCCTAACACGTACTGCATGTAAATCGCACATCGTAGAAATGTTGCTTATAGTTTTATTTGTTAGTATACTTTTTTTTTAAATCCCTGTTCAGCTTTGACTTTTATAAGCTATTAAAAAGCTATGAATAAAATAATGATTATTTTTGAAAACACTGTACTGCGATCAAAAAGCCAAAAACATAAAATTTTAAACGAAAGAAAACAACAACAAAAACAGACATAAAATCAGAATTTAATTGAAAATCTATATTAAGAGTGATTTTTTGTCTGGTTTGTGTTAAATGCGTTCAAACGCTTTCTATTATTTTAGGTTTGGTTATTTTACGCAATAAAATGATTCTTCTAGAACAACCGAGTGAGAGAAAGATTGGTATAAGCCTATACGAAATAGTATAAAAATCTCTAAAAATATTTCAAGTCCCGTCGTGCCAAAAACGATCAGTGGACTCCCTTTAAAACACATGTGAACAATTGCCAAAATAATGAAGAGATACACTTTTATATATTAACAATGACATAATAACTATCACTTTAAAAATATAAATCGATAATACAATTTTAACTTTCCAGGATTTTACACAAATTCATTTAGAACCATACATGTATAAAGGCGCTAATATCACATCTATGCGACTTATAGATCCGTCCAACCCTGCCCTAAAATCGTTGACATCTGACTGGACGACAAAGGAAATAATTTACGGCAAGTCACCAATGCTCGGATCTAAATTTATAGGGGTAAGTATCACCAACAGATTTGTTCTAAAGTATGCTAGCACAGTTAATTTGTTACACTAGGGTCTTTATATTTGAAAGACCTTGGTTACACAGAAACATTAAAGTGATTTTATGCCCATCCAAACGTAAATGGTCAGTTTAAGGAAAAATCCAAACAACCATTTTTTACATAACTACTGTACAATAAAAAAAATCAATAATTCACGTAACCAATAGAAATGATATAAATGTCGTTCCGAATCTATCGGTCACGCTCTATTTTTAATGCGTGGGGAAGTCTTTTTATAATTTGTTTAGTTTTTCATATAAGATCATAAACATTTTTAATTATCAATTATTTGTCAATCACCAACATTATTTCCAATATTTTGAAATACATCACTTGACACTGAAAATTGAGAATAATGGTATTTAAATAATCAAAGGGCTGCAAGCTCTGTGGTATTTTCTGATCTTTGCAATTTAAATCGTACAGTATATATGTATGTAGTATAAAATTCTGGAAACAAAGTAATCCCTCGGAAGCATTTATCACAACAAAATTACAAAGGAATTGCAGAATCGGTTTGATTGAGTCTGTACATGAGGGATACTGAATAAGTGCAACCTCCCTCACACCCCCTAGCACCGGCTTGAGCGGTACTCAATTCTCAACACTTAATAGTGCTGGCATCAATGATCATAAAGGGATAAGTTTATTTTTATATACTAAAATTCATCTTGTAGGGCACAGAGATAAGCGAATGCGTTTAGATTTTTTACTATAACAGTTTGAGTTTGATACATACGGAAATTTGCATGAATGAGTTGCATAAAAAATCATTTATGTTCATTTTTTTATGACAGTCACACTTTATCCTTTATCCTTATCGTGGCTATTTCCTTAAAAACAGACACATTAAAAAATAGTTGCCTCGACTGGGATTGAACCCTAGACCTCTCACATCCGAAGAGAGCGCGTTGCCCCTGCACCACGAGGAAGTTATACTAAGAAAGTCTGAATAAAATCAAATAATTCTAAATTTAGAATTTCCATTTCGGGTTAATTTCGAGGTATTTTGTTCACGATAAACCTGTTGTTTAACATTGATATAAATAATTTAGTGAAAATCTTCTCGCCAAATCAGTCCGACATGTATATATTCCACAACTCGACAGTCAGATTTATTTGATTTAATACGCTCTGTCGACATCACTAGCATTTTCATTGATTGAATCATATTCATCCGCATAATTTGTGAAAGCGCTTTTATTGACAATTCTATAAGCCAACGCTACTTTTAAACTTTTAATGCATTATAATTTGTTGGATACTTGTAACAAAATAAAAATATTTCTTTCTTTTACATCGCTCGTTTTATGCTGTTTTGAGAACTACTTGTTGTTAGGTTTGTCGTGAAGAGCTGTGCCAGAGATTGAATGTCAGCATTGTATTTCCTGATCTGCGATCAGAAAATACAAAAATTACTCAAGATTGACTTGATATTTATGTCTAATGATAGGCCAGGTACCCACACCTGCATGAAACACCTGCATAAATAAACGCTCATTTTCCTAATAGTTACTCAACCTTTTGTAATGAATTGTGTTAAAAAACATTTGCTTTTTAGGCAAATAAGCTCTTAAGTGTTTAATAAATATTGCTTATTATTATAAAGAAAACAAAGAAAGTATCAATATTTTTACAGACAGAATCAGCGTTGATGTATGACGCCGTGCACATTTTCGCGCATGCGTTGAGAAACCTTTCTAGAGCTCGACCAGTTTCCACAGAGTCACTAAACTGCCATAAGCGAGAAAAATGGTCGAATGGAACAAGTTTACTGAATTACATGAAAACAGTACGTAGTTATCAGTTTTCTTGAGTAATTATAGACCTATGTTTACTTGTTAAAGGATTGATTTTATATCATGACACTCATGGGTTTGTAACATTTTGTGAATAAAATTATTATCATTATTATGTTATGTATAATTATGTATTTTGATTATTGATTCCTACCTTGATAATATACTGTAATGGATTGTTTTGCTTTGAATTTTCAACAGTCAGCTTTAATTTGAATTTTTGTCACAAAATACAAAAATTGATCCACCAATAGTACCGAGCCTGATCAGACTGCATAATTATGTGGTTTTTATGGTGAAAAGGCTTATAACTTTCTGTTTCAACATGTTAGGATATTTTCTTATTATAAAATTCTAACTGTTCAAGTTTTATGTAAATGTATTACAATTTTGTAAATAACATTTTGTTGCCTGAAAACTTTAAATGCATTTTCAGTCTACATATCATGGACTCTCGGGAGAAATAAAATTTGAAGATGGCCAGAGACAAGGTTTTCGGCTCGGCATCACTAGTTTATCAGTCCATGGGCTAACCGAGGTAGGTCATTAATTAGTTGAGGCATGTCAGTCAAATTTCGGATCGATAATTAAACTGCATTCGTAAGAATATTTTAAAGATATGAATTTTAAGCCAAATGAATGTCACTGAAGTAACTTCTAGACATCATTGTTGTTTTATACGGAAACGTGTCTGTGTGAAATGTTTTATATTTTGTGTGACAGACACCTTATAGTATAGATATAAGTTATATCTACTGAAATAATTTTATAGAAGTTATATTTTGTTTTAAGTGTTTTTTCTTTCAATTATCTTATGGTCAATTCACAAACAAGATGCAACGTAGAATGATTATGTTATTAAAAATACATGAATATTTAAGTAAATAGAATAAAATGTCCGGAACAAAATATTATACTGGTATTTCAATAAAGGGTTTTAACCGTTAAGACATGATTTCATGCACCATTTTTCTTAAACAAACAAGACATTAAGAGTTATTTGTTTTAAAAAGTTAATTGTTAATTATTTGCAGCAGATAAATAGCTTTATGACTTTACAATTTAATTGGTATGCAATAGTGTGGTCTAAACAAAATGAAAGTAAAATCTTGGATTTGTTCAATAATAACGAATGAGATGAAAATTTAATAAGAAGAACGTAGATTGTTTACATAATACTTCTTATGATTTTAGAAACCAAAAGTATGAAAATATTTCTGTTGATAACATTTCGGAATTTGATATAATTGTATGTAAATGGGCATTTTTAAATTTATTTTTATTGCCAGACATATTTTTAATCATAATATTACCGAAATATACATTGTTTTCCAAAAGATTTCATACATATTTTTAACCCATTATATAAAGTATTATTCTATTGATTTCAATATAAAACAAACAAATGAAAGTGAAATTGAAAAAATGGTGTTTATTTTTCTTTTAGATAGGTAGTTGGAATACAAACACAGGAATTAATATAACATCATTTTCCGTGATACAGAAAATATTTGATGATCGGGAACGATTAAGAAATACCACTTTACGGGTTGTCACTGTTTATGTAAGTATTTAAAATATTTAGTCAGTGGTGCTTATTATAAAATACAATAAAAAAAAAAACAACAAAAAACAGAAAATATAATAAAAGAGCATCATAGGAAAAAAATGATGTAGGCTCCTTTCTCCTTTTGTTTGAGCGTGGTCATGTACGGTAGTGGTAAATGCAAGCTACCGTCCATGCCCCTTAAGTAAGTAACCGGGATGATCCGGGACGATCCGGGGTGAAATTATTGTTGCGGTCACACTTACCCCGGCAGCACTACGGTAGTTCCCAACTAACCACCCAGGATGCGCTCCGGATCATCCAGGCAGAGCCCAGGTGAAGCTACGGTTAATGCCGGTGATTACCCGGTCGTTCCCGGATGACGCCGGAAGAGCCCCGGTTAACCCAGGCAGAGCCCCGGTCGATCCAGGCAGAGCCCCGGCAGAGCCCAGAAAGATCAAGGCAGAGCCCCGGTAGAACCCCGGTGGATTGAAAACGCCCGAAAATGATAACATTGATAATTAATTTTAATTTAATATAATATCTATTGTTCCAGAATAGTAATTCATGATGATTTTCTGAAAAATCCTTATGCCATACTGGTTAGAAGGGAAATGGGAAGGATTTTAATACAAACAAGTGCAATCATCGCAAATTGTCGTTATTCTTTTGAAATGATCCGGGGTTTGCCGGGGCTCTACCGGGATCAACCGTAGCTCTACCTTTATCCTCCGGGGCTCTGCCTGTAGTTACCGGGGCTCTGCAGGCATATACCGGGACTCTACCGTAGCTCTACCGGCTATATCATACCCCGGATCATCCCCGGTTTGTGCCGGCAGAGCTACGGTGTTTCCCCGGTATAACCCGGTCGTTCCGACAGAGCTAAGGGTGAAGCCGGCAAAGCTATATCTTCCCGGATCATCCCGGACCCCCCCCCCCCCCCCCGGTAATATTAAATATTTTATTCCATCCGGGGTCGAATGCCGGATGTTCCCGGATCATCCCGGACGTTGCCGGCAGAGTTACGGATGTACTCCGGTTGTTCCCGGTCGTTCCCGGATCACCCCGGACGTCTATCGGGGCTCTGCCGGGATGTTAGTGAGACTGTAGCTTAAACTTGATAAGGCGTCAATGTTAATGCCAAGATTTGTCAGTTATTAATATAGTAGTATTTAGTAGATGCATATGGTAGTATGATTTTGTTTTAGAAAGTATACTAACTGGTTTAAGAGTTGTTGAAGGCTTACTTACATGAAAACAAATTTTGTTCGGATGTCTGATATACACAACTACAACACTAGATCAAATAAGTTTAATTTTTCAATCCCTCTTTGTAATAAGACATGTAATAGCACCTTTTTCTATAATGGTAATAGATTGGAATAGTTTGCCAGATGATGTAAAATGTATATCAAATCCAACTTTATATAAAAATTCTGTTAAAAGCCATCTTGCTTCAATATGGGCTGCGCAACATCAAAGTGACTTTTTATATTACTAATTAAGTGGCGACACAGGTTCGCCAAACTTTATTGTTTTTTAGTTATCTTATTTTTTCCTGTGCCTTTCTTTCTGTGATAATGCAAAACTACTGTGATTGAATAATTTGAAAGTTATCTCATTGTCTATTTTTATTTGAGGAATGAATGTCTCTCTGGTTTTATCTTGTTTCCATCTATTTGGTTAACAGGACCCCATTGGAAATAAGCACACCAGCTTAATGGGCTATCCTTGTAACCATAGATCACTATTTAACAAAACCTTTGTATTGAAATTTTATTGAAATTCTTTTACTTCTTTTATGTCATGTTTATCAGTAACTTTAAACAATATTCTGTGATAATTATAATTCTGACTATTGTAGTCTTAACCTGAAATGTGATTTTATTAATTTATTCATTTGCTTCTTTTTTAAAATACATTTATCAAATGCCTCATCTGATCTCAGTCATTAACTAAGTTTGTTTTATTTATTATTAATATGAAATGATATTTTAGTTTGGATAAACTGTTATTTTATATATATTTATTTATATATATATATCTTATTATGTAACTGTGATCTATGTTGTTGCTAAAATAAAATAAAATAAAATAAAAGGCTAGTTGATATAGTAGTAGAAAGAAATTGTTTCAATTACCAGGATCCACCATATGTCATGAACTTATCAGAGCCAAACGAGCATGGCCGGATGCATGAGGGCTTCATTATAGACCTTCTTGACGAGTTATCGTATATACTGGGGTTTAACTACACGATATACGAACAGGTAGACAGACAGTATGGTAGTGAAATAACGCCAGGAAAATGGAACGGTATGATTGGAGATCTGATGTCACGTGACAACACAAAAGTATGACTCTTTCATTTTGCTATTTTATTACTGATAGTAAATCTGTTTCCCTTTATTGGTTTTGAATAGTTTGCTCTTTGACATGGTATTGTTTTTTGGCGTTTGGTTTTGGGGTTTTCAATAGAACAATATCTGCTTATATGTTCAACTTAGTGATCTTTCAGATTGGATATAATTATTAGAAAGGCGGTTTCTCATTAACGAGATAGTTTAAGTTGGTTATATCGCCTGTTATTTGAATCGGATAAATGACTTGTAATAAGGGGTCATTAGATACTTTAAATGATTACCTATTTTCCTTTTATCTTTTTAAATTTTTGAATTAAAATTTCGTTATCATATCAAATTTTCGTTAAATTTGAATGATCATATGCTCAATTTTGAAGTGTTTCCTTATAATTTCTGTTTTGTATTTGTGCATTCCTTTGTTAAGGACCACACTGGAAATAAGAGTTTGTTTTGACTCTTTTTTGTGTAAGTTTATGATGTTGTCTAACACAGCTATTTATCAACTCATGCATCCTTTATCGGTGTTTGTATTTTGTTTGATGTGAACTATTATTAATTTTTATAGTTTCAAACTAATACTACTATTTTTTCGATCTAAGATTGATGTTAACGTTAGTATTGATCAGGTTGTTATATAATGAATGTACTATGTCTTCACTACGACATACATTACTTACAATAAACAAATATTTCAGAAGGCTGACATTGCAGCAGCAGGGTTGTCTATAACATATGCACGAGCCAGGGTGGTTGATTTCAGCATGCCGTTTCTAAGCCTTGGTATCACTATAATATACAAGAAGCCGGTTATTTCACCGCCCGATCTTTTTTCCTTCCTTTTACCACTCTCACCTGATGTCTGGATCTACATGGTTGCTGCCTATCTCTGTGTCAGCTTTATGATGTTTATTATAGCAAGGTATATATACTCATATATTTATATAGCTGTTCTATCATTGTTATATCTTAGTTCAAACCAATAACCCATGGACTACCGTCCGATTAGCTCAATAGATAGAGCTCGGACAATCCGGGTTCGATTCCCGGACGGTGCATTACACTTTCGTTGTGATTGATCATCACCATCACCTCCACCCATGGAATACCATGAAGCTTAAAGTGAAATTAGTTCTAAAGGTTCTGTTGCCTGTTATTAATATGTTTAACAGCTTATTTGCTTACATGTTCGTGAAATTAATTTCGGTATTAATTCAAACGATTTCCTTGCCTACCAAGAATGTTTCATGTAATGTTGGTAAAAAATATTTTTTTATATTTTGAGATTGTAGAAAACACAAAAATTTAAACATATCTACATTGCATTAATTTTATGCATGGTGCCGCGTGATTATTGTTTTTACTTTTTATACTAATAGATTCACACCCTACGAATGGGAAAATCCTCACCCTTGTAACAGTGAGTCAGAGGAAGTAGAGAATGTATTTACAATTCTTAACTGTTTGTGGTTTGCTATTGGATCTCTTATGCAACAAGGTAATTCTAAATATATAGCAAAAGTTTTCAATACACTTAAAATCAAGTCTGCTTTACGTTAAAATTACAAATTGGCGCTAATTCCCTAACATTATATATACAAGAATATTGTATGTCAAGTGATTAATTATTTTGTTAAGAAATTAGTTTCAGAAATTGATTCTCGAAAAAAAAACAACGATCTCTATAATATCTGATATCAATATATCCTTCTGCCAGCACCTCAGATCATGTAAATGTAATTCTTGCTATATCATTCCGCGTATCCCGACAGCAAAGTATGTAACTAAAATGTACCCTTGTCATTTAGTTGAAAATGTATTGGGTGCATGCATTGAGGAAACAAACATCATGTTGTAATTTCTTTTGGCTGGTGTCTCTTTGTATATAGCTTAAGTTAAATGCATATAACTTACTTGTGTGTTGGTATATGTTCATGAAATTTCAAATATGGATAATAATGATATCAAAATATAAATTCTCTAGGTTTCACTTGAATCAGTCTTAGTTTGTTGATTTCTTCAAACACATGTCTACGAACTTCTGGATATCCTCTCGTAAATATTCTACGTATTGTATTGTGTGAGATAAACATTTATAAATATATAATTAATATATATACAATTGTTTCTAATTCAGGTAGCGATATAGCACCGAAAGCATCCTCCACGAGGTGTGTGGCGAGCATCTGGTATCTTTTTACTCTAATAATCGTATCCTCATACACTGCTAATCTTGCAGCGTTTCTAACAAAAAGCAGGATGGATGCGCCAATAAAAAACGCCGATGACCTGTCCTTGCAATCAGAGATCAAATACGGAACACTCTCGTCGGGCTCTACTCGAGACTTCTTCAAGGTTTATACATTTCATTTCTCTGACATGTTCTTAAGTGTCATGTGAATCAATAGAGAAAATAAGAATCCCAAAAGAAAGCCCAAAACGGCAAAATTGAAAATGTTGCAGGCTCGGTTTGATTAAGCCTGTTCATGGACGGTACTGTAAAGTGCAAATTAACGTCCACGCCCCCTAGCGCCGGCTTAAGCAGAATTCAACACTTAATCATGGCGAAATTTTGAATTAAAAACATCCACAGACGGCGGATATCATGGAACCTTCAATGTGACACTTCCGTGCAATTCAATGAAAAGCGGCGCTGGGTCCGCAAGTAAAAGAATGCGTGTGCCCCAAACGAGAAAACAATGGGCGGAACTAAATAAAATGGACTTTTGAAAGGGGATTCGAGGTTATGAAGCCTGCATATCACAGATACAATGTTAAAAAAAAGATAACTGTAAAAAGCAGTCAACATATCCTAAGGGTGATTCAACATATTTAAGTAGGAATAATGAAACCACCCAACTAGAAAAAAAACTAAAGGTACCACAAACACAACAATAATGTAATGCTGAACGATCTTAAGGATCGGAAATATAACATCTCTGATTGAATGTACGGGTCGACCCTTTACAGCCTCCACACGGCACAAACAACGCTGGCGTGGCAATAAAATAAGTATCCCTAAAGAAAGTCCAAAACGGCAAAATGGAAAATGTTGCAAGCTCGGTTTGATTGAGCCTGATTATGGACTGTACCGTAAAGCGCAAACTACCGTCCATGCTCTTAGCACCGGTTTAATCAACACTGATGTTTAAGAAATCATATAGATGTATTGTCCAACAGTGATTTTATCGTTAAATATAATTACTCTTTGGAGTTCTGATGCTGTTTGGATTTGTTTTGTTTGCCTATTAGTTTTCGCAGACATTTTATTTTACTATAATACGCCACTTTTCATTGACTATCACGAAAATGTCATATTTACAATCGTATTAGCACATCTGCAGATTTTACTATACACTTAAATTCGCCATTGCTATATGTGAATGTTGAATACTGCTAAGCCAGTACTAGAGGGCATAGACAGAATCTTGCTCATACCTCGACTTCGAACTATGAACAGGCAAAGTCAAACCGAGGCTACAACATTTACCCCTTTTTCCGTTTTTAGCGTTCTTGAAAAATCCTTCTTTTTAACATTTTCTTCATTAGACCGGTTTTTATAACTTATTGGACACACATATTAAGTACGGGCAACAAAAGAAAGAATTCCATTGTAACTCGAATTCGGCCTATATAAATTACATAGTGTGATACAATCAATGTAACAAAATTTTTACCTTTATAAATGTTCTTGTATTTTGAATACATAAAGCTTTTTTTTCTACAGAACGCAGAAATGCCTGTGTACAAGCGGATGAACGCATTTATGACAGCTAATGGGGACAAGGTCTTTGTAAAAAGTAATGCAGAAGGTTTCAAGAAAGTAAAAGCTTCTCAAAATTATGCGTTTTTATCAGAATCTACATCAATTGATTACCAAGTACAGAGGAACTGCGATCTTATGCAAATTGGTGACTTATTAGACTCTAAAGGATATGGCCTTGCTTCCCCTAAAGGTAAAATGCTCACGTAATATTTTTTTTACAATGCCAAAAAAACAAAAAAAAAACAACAAAAACAAAACATCTTTCAAACATCAATCTCCTATATGATTATTTTAGTGCATTTCAAATGTGGTAAGTTTAACATAAAATATATATATGTAACCATATTTGAAATGTATTCACATAATTGCGTTTACTAATGATTTCAGTAAGGAGATACATAATATACTAATAAATTCGCACTCATAATTGTGTGTGTTCTGCTTTTAAGCAGGATCTGCGCTTTTAAGCATGATCCGCGCACGTGTTTAATATTTATGTGATCATTCTTGATAAATTCATTTATTGGAGTTTTAGTCACACGTAATGGTCATATGATGATTTGTAAGCTTTATTGGTGCCCGCGTAATCCCAATCGTACATTATGTAGGCAAGTAATGTAGCCTGACTAGAGACATCGTCATGTCCATGGCAGAATTTAAACCAACAGTTATGAGGCGCAAGTGGTTCGAACTCATTGACTGTAATAACTCGTCCTCGGTGTTAGTAGTGCAAGATTTGTGTAGGATGTTGTTTGGTGTCTTTTAAGTTATAAGCTATATCAATATTATATGTATTTTTCAGATTCTCCATGGATAAAATACATTTCAAAAGAAATTGTAAACCTTCAACAGCAACAAGTTATATCAAAACTGTACAAAAAATGGTAAAATATCGTCTTATATGTAATTCTTTTGATCATCAGTCTTAAAAACATAAATAAATTAAAAATTACACTTAGAGCCAGAGCTAACACATGGCTATTTTAATAAATGCTTCTTGAATATGTTATCATATAAAATTGAAATTTCATTTACAGTTAATTACAACAATAAAGGGCTAGATACAGTTTCCGACATTTTTCATGAAACATATTTGCTGAGTAAAAAATTATCTCGTTCCCACGACTTAGTAAGTCGTAGCCACGACATATTATCTCGTGCGCTAAACTTAATTATCTTGTTGCAACGACTAAGTAATTCGTGGCCACGACATGGTATCTCGTGCGGACCACTTAATTGTCTCGTGACCATTCCTGTTGTCTTTCTTTTTCTTTCTCTCAAATCTGTCTCTTATTTCCTACCATCTATTACCCAACAATTTCAACAATTAACTAACGTTTCCATTTCTTTATTTTTCTTTAAATTCTTTTAAAACATGCTTAAAAGTTCTATTATTTTTCTTGAAAAGTTTAAACGTGCTAATCTGTGCATTTATCACTTACGTGTATTTATGCTATAGAACTATAGGGTTTTCTTTCACATTTTTATGTCAATATTCTATTATTAAGGTCGTTTCGATTAGGAAAACCAGAGTGTAAATTGCTAACTTTTCTGTACATGTAAAGAAGCAAGTTTATAGTGAAAATGTTATGTATATTTAACTCAAAAATGCATATAATTGTTACCATTTTACATACTGTTAGATAGTGATTACGGAAAGAGTTTTTAAAAAAGCTTTCAAGCTTACTACTCAATCCGTACTATTTATTATTTGTCAATTATCATGTAAATGTAATACTTATTATAGCATAAAATCGGCTATTTTTCCCTATTTTGCCCATGTTATAACGGGACCAAAACCATGTGTTAACATAGTCACGCGCTCTTGTTATAGCCCGGTTTCACCTATGCGCAATACATACAGGGCCCAGTAAACAAACAAAAAAAATGACGATTTGGCCTGTTTGCCAAAGAGTCATGCGCTCTTGTTATATTGAAATTATGGATTCGAGGGCCTCAATCGCATTAAATACGGCGAGCAGCATTCAAGTAACTATGCCGGAAATACGGCGTATATACATCGCTGCTAATCTTGGTTGTCGCCCTTTCTAAGAAACGGACAGTTGTCAATGTAAACAAATTACTGGCATTCAGTTTAACCCTCCGATTAACTTACAAAACAGGATAACACAAAATGAATATGAGAACATGTTGTTTTATTGATGCTTATCTTGTTAAATTCTCTTTATATTTCTTTGAGAGAATAATGTTTAGTGCCTGATTTTTTTTAAAAACTTGTGTGCTTGAAAAAACCCGATTCTGATGACGTCACTGATCTTTTTTCTACCGTCAATCTGAAATCATTCTAAGAATTTCTGAGGGTCATGTTTTGTATTGGGAAGAGTAATGTAACGTTGTTGTTTTTTTTCCTTGAGATAATATTTCTCCAATGTCAAGCTTTATAATATCAATTAAAATTCAAAATTTCGTTCGGTTCGTTGTTGGCCCCGGAAAAATAAAACGTATACGTAAAACATGTAGAATTGGATAAATACCGTCCAAGCACAAGGATTTAATGTATTGTGTTTTGTATTAAATATACATCATGAATCTGTTTTAAAATTTTATGCTATAATAGCGTCAACGCACGTTTATTTCGTGTTATAAAGTCTGCAGAGTCCCTCAGAACTGTTGGAGCCCTCGCCCTACCGGGCTCGGGCACCAACCGTTCCTCGGGACTCTGCAGACGTTATAACACGGAAAAACGTGCGTTAACCCTATATAAATAAAATATTGTTTAAACTAATTGTCTCGTGGCCACGACTTAGTAACTCGTGGACGACATGGTATCTTGTACACACGAGATAAATTAAAACGCACTAATATCACCTTTGTTTCACCGAAGTAAGCTGTAAGGCACAAAATAATATTTGCAGAGCCAAAGATGAGATGATCAAGGATGTGTCTGTATTTGTTTACGCAATAAACATATATAATTTGACTTTCATTGGACAGATTCAAACATAAAACGCTTCATTTACATATACCTAGTCTTTTACGTTCTTATCTTAGGTGGGTGGAGAAAAGCAACACTGTTTGTGAAGACGACAACGCAGACGATCAACAAACGAGCGCTCTTGGTGTTGGGAATTTGGGAGGTGTATTTCTTGTCCTTGCCGGTGGTTCCATATTCGCTCTGTTTGTCGCCATATTGGAATTTTTATGGAAGGCTGGAAGGACAGCTCGAAAACAAAATGTAATTTTAGTTTATTTCATTTGATTGCACTTATTGTATTTGTTATGATTTACAATTGTAATGATAAGAGGAAACCAAGAGATCGTCTGGCACGGTGAAATTTTAATATTACCAACTGTTTTAGACTGAATCAATTCAAGGACAGCAAGTTTGTACTCTAATGTGTCTCTTCAAACAGAATTTCAAACTTAAGGAATACAAAATATACTTGTTGTCAGATTGATGCATGTTGACGTTGTTATTTGATCATTTTTGTGAGGAGGAATAACCCTTTGTTCTGTACCAATTTCTATTACACATTCTGGTTTTGTGACTATGTACGTAATCTCGGCAAAGATTTTTGATTCACCAAATTTATACCGTATATATTTGTAGGCATCATTTTTGACTGAAGTGAAAAATGGATTATATTTCATCTTTGTGGAATGCACATCTTCGAGGAACATGGGAGACGAGAACAGCTCTGTTGATGAATGTGAAGTGAATAAAAATTCTCTACAAAAAACTCCTAAAATCACTAACGGCAATTTCTGTAAAGATGCTGCTGATTGATTGAAGTGTTATGAACTTAAAGTTTTGCTTTAACGAACAGTTGATTGATATACAAAAACAAAAGATCAAGGTGTATATATAGTGTCACCAAATCTGCAGCGATTTTATTTAGTAATAAAATCATGGCATTTCGAAGTGTTAATCTTTTCTTAATAATACATTGTATCGGTCTTGCTCTTGAACCGACGAACAACAGACAAATGTATAGTTTTCTTTATTCTCATATATCATTTTACATGAAACAACATCCCAATAAACTGAAACGCCTGTACACATCAGTTTACGTCGTCTGTTAATCATTCGATGCAAACAAATGAAAATTAACTTAATTAAATATGAAAATGATATGTATAAATATAAAATACAAAGTTTTTGTTTTTCGTTCGTTTTTTGTCTCCGTAAACATGTGCAAGATGTCGTTTTTTGTTTGTAATCTAATAAGCCATGTTTATTCTTTTTTAATTATATTTTATCAGGAAATAAACCTACACTCAGTGATAAATGCATTCTTGTACTTTTTTTACCATGAAAGAACAAGTTGAGTAATTTATTAAAGTGACCTTATTCTAACTTTTCACGCTGTAAAATTGAGTCAAAATACTTCTATATTTCAAAGTATTGTAGCCATTAAACGTTTGTTGTTAATTACTAACATTTAGAATAAAATATTAATAAAGGGCTAACGTACATTTTTCGTGTTGTAACGTCTGCAGAGTCCCGAGAAGATTGATGTCCGAGCCAACATTTCCGAGGGACTGCAGATTTTATAACACGAAAAAAAAAAAATAATATAAAAAAAATAAATAAAAAAAACCCAAGAACATAAATTGCGCTAACGCTATTAAAGCATAGGTTTTTTTAATCACATTCATAATGTTTATTTAATAAAAAATGAAATCCTTGTGGGAACGGTTTGCACTTGGATTCAACATGTTTTACGTATCCGTTTTATTTTTCCGGGGCCCATTACCTGGAAAATACAAATGTTCAGAACCAAACGAAATTTTAAATGATTTAGGCAGAATTTTGTCCAATGGCTGGATATGTACTCCGGATAATCGGAAATATATATAGTATAATGTTTACAATATGACTAAAAGCCCATATGGCTGATTGCACTCCGGACAATCGGAAGTGAATTTTACTAAAGCCCATATGGCTGATTACACTCCGGACAGTCGGAAGTGAATTTTTGTATTTTGAAAAAGAGACAACGTGCTGGCAAATGCCTTAAACATATAGTGTAATGATATAATGACTGACTGTCACAGAGCTGCATCAGTACTAAGGGTGTAGTACTTAAGTACCAGTACCAGTACTTGGCAAATTATGCAGTACCATTACCAGTACCAGTACTAGATTTTAACTCGGTACTGCAGTACCAGTACTTTTTTTGGTGAAGTAATTAAGTATCAGTACCATTACTTTTATATATTCATCAAAGTTTGAATAAATACAGTGTCAAACAAATAATTGCAAATATTATTCTGACAGCAAATAAAATCATAATTTACTTTAAAGTTAACATAACATATTTACAACTTAATAGTTTTAACATACTTTTTACAAATAATATTCATGTCATATCTAATTGTTTAGTAACCAGTCAACTGTATAAATACAATGCAATCATCTTTCATTTAAAACACAACAGTCTTTTGTTGCCTTTCACACCTTCACACCTCTGTTCAATTTATACCAAAGTAAATAACAACTTTTTATAGTGCTAACAATATCACTTTTTTCACTTGAAATGGGATTATTTAGAATAGAAGAAATTAATTAGTGTTTATTTTGCTCTTTTACTAGTAAATACAAAGTAATAAAAGATTTTAATAAAGATATTTTAGGGTAAAGAGTTATTGAGTCTGTTTATCTTAATTTAATTTTTACTTAAAGTCTTTGGTGCTTTTTATGATGAATACTATATTTACATTTGAAGGAATATTGCAGCAAATTATCTTTAGATTTGATAACTTACTTTTTCACAAAAATAAAATATAGTTAATGTAATTTACAGCTTTATTTTACGAGAAAAATTGATGTTATTTTTAATTTTTATCAAAACCAAAAGTACTGGGTAATGCAGTACCAGTACCACTTTTTAAGACAGTAATGCAGTACCAGTACCAGTAGTAGCAAAATTTTATAAAAGTAATTCAGTATCAGTACCAGTACTTGCAAAATCGCTGCAGTACGTACTGCAGTACCAGTACCAGTAATGCAGCTCTGCTTACTGATACATATATAATGTCATATACAAGAATGTTGATTTCACTCCAGACACTCGGAAGAGAAATAACAAATAACAGAAACTAACTTAATATTACTAAATAATAATGTCTGTAAGCACTTGTCTCAAATGTCAACAGTCATATTGTAAATCCAGTTTTCAATGAAATACATCCATGATGAAAGTTCTTCATAGATACACCTGAAAATATAAATTAAGAAAGCCCAACAAAGGCAGAAAATCATTAGGGAGGGACAGGGTGGGTTTTGATCGTTTAAACATTATGATGTGAAAATTTATTTATTTTTTTCTGATTTTGTACATAATTTTGTACATATTAATAAAAACAAGTGTAAACAACATAAATATCACTTATATACCTTTCATCTTGAACTGGTTATAATATATGCGTATGTGTACCAGAACGCGACGTCTCGACAAAGCGCAAAATGGCGCATTGTCGCCTTATCAGCCGGCGCTTAGAGCATTGTTGCCTTGTCAGCCGGCCCTTTGCGCATTGTTGCCTTGTCAGCCGGCGCTTAGCGCATTGTAGCCTTGTCAGCCGGCGCTTTACGCATTGTTGCCTTGTCAGCCGGCGCTTAGCGCATTGTTGCCTTGTCACCCGGCGCTTAGAATATTGTAGCCTTGTCAGCCGGGGCTTAGCGCATTGTAGCCTTGTCAGCCGGCGCTTAACGCATTGTAGCTTTGACAGCCGGCGCTTAGCGCATTGTTGCCTTGCCAGCCGGCGCTTAGAATATTGTAGTCTTGTCAGCCGGCGCTTAGCGCATTGTTGCCTTGTCACCCGGCGCTTAGCGCATTGTTGCATTGTCAGCCGGCGCTTAGCGCATGGTAGCCTTGTCAGCCGGCGCTTAGCGCATTGTTGCCTTGCCGACCGGCGCAAGCGCCAGTCGACAGCACGATGCGCAAAAGTGTTACGAATCAGCCCGGGGCGTCCGTGGCCGAGTGGTTAAGGTCGTTGACTTCAAACCACTTGCCCCTCTCCGCCGTGGGTTCGAATCCCGACAGGAAATTTGGATTCTTTCATGTGATGAATCTATCCAGCTAACTTACGGAACGTCGGTGGTTCTACTCAGATGCCCGTTCGTGCCTGAAATAATGCACGTAAGGACACTTGAGGTCCTCCTCCACCAGTAACGTCGCCATATGACCTATACTGTGTCGGTGTGACATAAAACCCATTCAAACGAATCAGGAATTAAGATGTGATAAATGTGTTACATACAAGAACAGGTGATTGTTGCCCAACAAATGTCACGATGCAGAAGCAAAGTGCGTAGTTTCCAGCATTACAATTGCTAATAAATTCATCATTTAAATTTGTTTTAGTTGTAATCTGTTTTCTATGTTTATCATACCAGTAATGGACTTTCGTTTAAATCTAAGTACACATATTGCAATTATGTAACAAAACTAACGATTTTTGATGATAAGCATTAATGCCTTTTATATGTAAATTTCTCATTAATGACAAATTAGACGAATTATTTTGATAGCAAATATTTTAAAGGTTTTTTTTTGCGCACGAAGTTTACGTTGGCGTATGGCGGTAAACTATGCGGATTACCTCGGTTACACTATATAAACTGATATATCCGTTTCTGACAGCATTGTATTCGAGAACTTGTACATGCAACATCGTTTGACGAAATCATTGTCAATCTCTAGTTATATTACCACATCATGCCACCTAAACGTATAGGAACAAACAGGAAAGCTAGGACTGCAGATGAGGGGGTGCCTAGGCTTTTCCAGCCTGATTCAGGTAACTGTTCTTCACCTTCTTGTCGTTCCTTACGCTCTAATGTAATAGATTTTGAAGAAATAATAAAGGGTTCGGGTATATTACCCGCTTCTAATGATTTGGCTTGTAATTCAAACTATATTAGTAATGTCGACATCCATCAAAATTTCTACATATTTACAAAGAGTGTATATTCAGTGATTATTGTTTGTTGTTCTTAAAATCGTTAAGGCGAATGGTGAAAATCCCACAAAAGTGATATGTTACTTACATTAGGAAAATATATTTGTTTAGTGTGTGCCTTTATTTTGCACCTGAATTTTTGCAACAATCATTAAGAATTGTTGAAAATGATTTGATTATTTGAATCTTTTACACGAAAAAATTTGTTAGAATTTAACTTTGTTTGAAATTTTATCATTGATTTCATAAGAAAATATTTTTTCTTATCATAAATAGATATCATAGATATCAGCCTTTACTATTCTGGCGACGTTAAATACTCAGTTATTTGTTGTACCTATTTATAATTTCATCTGTTTACCTTGGTTTTAACGCTTAGTAGCGGTAACAATCTCTATCCATGTCACCGGTGTAGACCAAGATGAACCAAGGCATTTGACCCTCTGTTACTGTTTGCATTGTTCGCTATTCAGTCAGTATGTATTTTGATTTTTTTTCTTAAATTGATGAATGGATTTGTCTCGAGATTAACAGATTGTCCAGTCCATAAAATAGGTAAGGGTAAACGTGTGGTTAGGGTTGAATTGTAGCTAGATGTTTACTAACTTTAAAACTTAAATTGCCCATTTCCAAAAGATAAGAAACGAATTATTCAATGCAACTTAATCTATTTGCAAGAAAAATTACTACTTTGCCATTTTCTGTATTTAATTGACACTAAATAAAATTCACTGAGTCTGTGTTAGATTTTGCACTATGAAATCTGATCATTGTTATTCAAAATCTGCTTTGTATTTAGAAATACTAGAATGTGAAGGAGCGACTGGATATTGCCCAACAACAGATTTATGCACAAACAGCCTATGCAGAGATCCAAACTGTCAAGTGTACCCATACACAACTTGCACGTACGTATTTGAAACAAATAGATCTGCTCGTGAACAACAACCGTTATATCAACTGCTTACAACTAATGGCCATTTTTACACAACATTTAATATCCGTGATAGTTAAAGCAAAACAATTTTTTTTATTTTTAACACATTAAATGGTCAGTATAAACCCTACTTTAAAGTCATAAATCGTCTCAGTCAATCATTAAAAATATCCGAGATATAACACAACTTTTAAAACTTTTTATTTTTATTATTTCTTGTAAAAATCCCCAATGTAAATAGATGTATACTGTCTGCGTGTAAGTGTATATCATGTTGTTCATGTACATAATTTCAAAACACGAAAATTTCATGCTACGGACATTTTGTTATTCAAGAGACTACCTATAGTGTTTTGCAAGTAGGAAAGAAATGCTTTAACATTAAATTTGTACATTTGTACATTTCTAGCACAAAATACATTATTTCTATTGTTTCGATAGAAGCAAGTAAGATATAAGCCTCAAACTGACCAATAAGTAAAATATTGATTTACCTTCGGCGCTACGCGCCTCATGAAATTCAACATTTGTCATATTGGACAGTTTTCGGCTTAAAACCTGGCGGTATTCACTGTATAGAGCCTGGCAAGTGTACACATGTGTGCAGGTTGGCCAGGCACGCACTATACTAGTGGCAAAGGCAAACACTGTATGAGCATGTTCATGGTCAATGCATTTCTATTTCAGAGAAGAAGCTTGTAAAACTGATGAGTTGCAGACTCGGTGGGTGATAATGTGATGTGGAAAACAGCATCAAACGTGACATCTACGATGGCTATATACATAGCTGATTTGAATATATGAACATTTCAGTTGATAGTGTTTCAATAGAAACATGTAACATATATTTTAAACTTATTTATATAGTGCATTGGTAAAAAGTCTTCAGTATCAATTATAACTTGGTTTTGCCTCTTTTAGTTTAGCACTTTTCACAACGGAAAACCTTACTAGATGACAGGTTTTGAAATAAGTTTATTTTTTGGTTGCTGCAAAAACTTGTCTTGTCAATGAAATATGCAGCGTTTGAAGTAATCCTAAATTTAAGCAGTTCAGAACATACCACAATCTGAAGAGCAGATATTGATATTTTTTTCAAAAGCCCTATTAGTAAATACGTATTGATTTTAGTTGAATTTATTTTAGTTCGGTTGTGTTGGAAGCTATACGCTTATCGAAACACTCGGAACCAAACAGTACCAAGCAATGAGCGTAAAATTTCTTGCTAACGGAAACAATGGCTTCCCCCCTGACAGGGTCTGAACCCAAGCGGTCAGCAATTCTTAGATTACAAAACGCGTTAAACACTCGACCGTGCCGCCACCATAAATGAAGAAATGGAGAGATGAATCAACGAATCTTTTCTACATAAAAGCTGTATTTCAACCATTTTGAAAACTGAAATGAACTAAGATATAAAATCTAATTCGAACAATATTTATATCAATTTTTAATGTATATTGAATTGTAAATTACTTAATGACGACCTGTACATTAATTAAAAACTATATTCGGAATATGTCATATGTATTTTTAAGTGTATATTCTAAACATGACATGATTCATCAGGTAAAAATCTGGAAACAAAGTGATCCCTTGAAAGCATTAATTACAACGAAATTACAAGAGAATTGCAGACTCGGTTTGATTGAGTCTGTACATGAGGGATAATGAATACGTGCAACATCCCTCATGCCCCCCTAGCACCGTCTAAAATGACCCTGAAACATAGCACCAGCTAAAATCTATTAACCTAAAATAACCAAATCATATATCGCCGCAATACTGTAACATGGAGGAACGCCTTACACAAGAACATAATGACGATCAATCTTTGTAACAAAAATGTGAAAAAAGAAAAACATAGAATAAGAAACATATTAGTAGTAACAAAATTTATCATATATTATATTGATATATAAAACCTACGCAATTTATCTACAGCACTTCTTAACTTTTGGATGAAACAAGTAAAGATTATTTAATTTTAGGATTTACATTTGCAATATTTTACTGCATACGCTTCTTAAGATCTTGAAAAAAGACAGCAAAATCACAGGTAAGTATGACTGTGGCGTTATTGTTATTTCCGGCGCAAAACACATTATATTTAGAATTATAATTTTGGCCATTCTAAAAATAGCATAAAAAATTATAAAGGATCTTTCTGAAACGTATACACGTCCAAATTATTAAATAATCTAAAGTAGGATCGGAAAAAGAACACTTTCTAGTTAAATTTTCCGGTGAATTTCCCCAAATGACCGTTTTACACCGCTTTTAAAATTGATTAATTCTCTAGTGAATAGCATATTCAATATAAGAGTTACCGATGACATACGACATTTTTTTTTCCAAAAATGACGAGACTACCAATAGTGTTCAATATCCAATGTGCATACAGAAAGACACCCATTTAAAAATCCCGAAATGTTCTGGTACTCTCAGTGTTTATAATATATAATATGATTATTGATCTGCTATGGCATGTTAAACGTTGCAATATTCAACAAATTTAATGTTTGGTCTATATCCAATATTTATATTGTATATCTCTAATTTTATATGCTATACCATAATATTATTCTATCCTACTAAAAATATTTGTTCATCAAAAATATTTGTGTGCGATAATTTTCTATATATATGTTCTATATTTGAAAATATATATTGTATAATTTAAAATGTTTATTGGATAATCATGCCGTCATTCGATCAATAAGAAATTGTGTCAATAGTAAGTCGAGAAACTGTCTAAAACAAATAAAAAAGGGATAATTGAAAACGGGAAAAATTAAGGTAGCCACAACACAGTTTTTTTATTGAAATTAATGATTAAGAAAGGGTGATTGAAAAATTTGAAAAAGAAAAATGCTTTCAATAGTTAACCAATGAAAATACGGTCTTTAAACATGAAATTATGAAATCAATTTGAAAAAGGTTTGTCTGATGACCTCTCATATGAATAAATCTCTTTCATGTTCCATCTGTGTAACCTTTAGTCACACACTTTTAAGGTGTGGTTGTATTGCTTATAGATGAATATTTGGCCATACTCATTTAATTAACGTTTTATATAAGGTAGCGGCTATATGGAATCTGAACATTTATGTCTTCAGTGATTTTGAATTTAAGAAAAGTGTACAAGAAACAACAGGTTATACCCAGACTAAAGTGGTCATGGAGAAATAATGAAAAAGTTCGAAACATAAAGATACAGCGTTGTTTTCCTATTAACACTGATATCATAAATCATTTAAGTCAACTTAATAAAAAAACAAAGATGGCCGGTTCAAAATATAAAACATATCTAACAAAGTTTAACAAAACATTTTTATGATTAAGTTTTAAAATATCTGAACAGAAAATATATATCTTCCCTAAAATTTTGAAATATTACTAGTGTTTTTCTTTTCTTTTGACAATCTTTACAGTATGAATAGATGACACTAAATCTTTCATCAACAACATTGTTTATCAGTTTCAATCTCTTTAACTATTTTCGTTTTGGCCTCTACTTTTTTCTACGTTTTAAAAATAACATTCAGAATATCTCAAAACGTGAAAACAATTATTCAAAATACTTTGCGTCTATCCCATTTAAGGAAAATATATTTCAATTTAAGGTAAGACAAAATAATGTTTGTATTTCAGAACATTTAAATTTCATTTCAAGTATTTTATGAGCGCAAAAGCTACAACAGACCTGTTTTTATAGAGATTTCCCTGATTTGACAATATTTGTTTACTTGGTAAAGTTATGATCCAATTAATGTGTATGTTTTATTTTATGAATAAGGAAAAGTTACTGGGTTTTTTTTCCAATAATTTTTCCAATTGTCATGACTAGAAATCCGTACCTTCCAAATAGATGTATATGATAATACAAAAATATATATAAATTGTTGATTGATTCTAGTATTTTCATTAAGTAAAACATCAAATAAAGATGTTATAACAGATTTGTGTGTGCAATTTTTTTTAAGGGATCATCAACTTTTTGAAACATTGAAAACCGTAAATATCACTATTTCCAGGGGTTAACTAAATACAGAGTAGTGGTATGCCTTTTTTTAAGTCAGAAGTTTTGCTGTTACATAATTTCGCTATAATTTGTTTTTTATTGCTTATTGCTGTACCATTCTTATTCTTAACATTTTATACATTATTCTTCATTATTTTACTTCGTCAAATTTTGCTATGGATTTTGTTTGCTTGTTGCTTGGAGGGTATTGGAATGCTCTAAGGCATGGGGGATCAGACGTCCTGTTGTGTGTTTTGTATCTTTTTATTTTATTCATTTATTGTATTTATTTATTTTTTTGACAATTGGGGATGCACGTGATCTGTAAACCGAATATTATTGGTTAAATAACCATGTGTTACAAGCCACTGTTTTTATAAGCGGTATGAGAGTTGCGTATTGCTACATGCTCTCCCCTTTTACTGATTTGAACTTTCATTGAACATGTGTGTGCGTGCGTGTGTCTGTGTGTATGTGAAATATATAAGTTAAATGATGTGTTCTAAGAACAGTGTTGAAAGTATCTTGTAAACTGGTTTTCTTATAAATATGTTTCAAAATTTGACACAATGTATCAATTGTATTTTGAAGCGCCTTAACTTCGAGCATGATTGTAGATAATTGCGAGTAAAATAAATATTTATACAGTTTTGTCTGTGCAGAAGAAATCACACATAGACCTGATCTGTTAGACTTAAAAGTGCCAAGGAAAATATATTTATATTATATCAGGTTTGAATATAAGCAGATAACTATGCATTGTTTTCAATTTGCCCTCATCATAATTTTTGTGACAAATGCTAAAGGATATAATGTTAACAATACCGCTCCATCAGATATTGACGCACAATATTTAATAGATTTTGGAGTGAAAACAAACGATGCTAAATTAGAGGCTGTTGGAATAGCCATGAAAAATCTCCATCAGCAAACTTGCGATGGTTGGTCGACCTGGTCTAAATGTACTTCAAACATTTTTCGTTATTTTGGAATAAAGCAGCGTACCAGGAAATGTGTCAACACATCTTTGGCAAATGAAACAGACTTACGCTTATGTAGGAATCGATGTCCGTCTGACTATAAAACAACATCAAATGGATTTTGTATAAAATTATACACCATTGCAAAATTTCATTCAGAAGCAGAAAACTACTGCAAGTTAGATGGTGGACACTTGGTTCATATCAACTCACAGGCAAAATATGATGCGATTGTGGAAATGGATTTTCCAAACAATGTAGCTAATTATATACACATCGGCGGACAGCGGATTGGCAATAGCTCATTCTGGAGGTTCAACGACGGCACAAGGATTACGTTTTTCAGGTGGGCACCATCCGAACCGCATGTAGAGCCATGTTTGTACTTAGAGAAGACATCAAAGACTATGCATGATTCATCGTGTCCTCAGAAGTTTCATTTCCTCTGTGAAATCACTAAAACAGGTGATTAAATGAAAATGTTTATCAACAGAATGAAAATCAAATGAACACCCATTGTGTAAATAAAATTGCTAACCTGGAAGCTATCGTGTATAAGCATGTGCGTTAATTTTTTAGCAAATATAAAAACTTTTAACATGTTTTTAAAGAGTCTTTACAATTTAATACTTTGAATTGAAAATAAAAATCCTTATCTTTAGAATATGTTTGTCTTCTCTTTTACATAATACATGTCTGTAATTTTTTGAAATGTGCAAAGCTTATAACAACATTTATAAATACGTCATTATCATCGTTCTCAAATTTTAAATTTTGTACTTTAATAATATTCTTAATTTATTCTGTGTTCATTCTCTCTACAGATTTCCCTCATGTACAAACATGTATGACACATCAGTATTGAATTGCCGCTGAAATAAAACCGAAATGTACAGCCTTTGTACCATTATAAAACCAAAAAATATATATCCATTGTATATCTAATTACTTAGCACATGCTTTTTTGAGGTCAATTCAGGGGGTCTAAATAACCTATCTTACAAATTTGTACAATATATATTGCTGACAAGGTGCCATGTCGGCGCCGTTACGATATAGAAACGGACGAATTAGAATCTGTTTGGTTGGAAATTATTTACCCAAATTGCAAACCTTTTCTTTTAAATTTTATATATCGCCCACCAAATGTACACCAATCTTGGATTGACGATTATGAAAAACAACTAAGTATAATAGATATATCAAATATAGAATATCATATTCTAGGAGATGTCAATATAAACTTTTATCCAATGAATAAAAAGAAAAAATATGACAATACAAAATGGGGTGATTTGATAACGAAATATGGTTTGAAACAGCTTATCACAGATCCTACTAGGATAACAAAACGTACCCAAAAAAAATTATAGATCATGTTTATACAAACAGTAGCAGATATATTATTGAATCGTTTGTTTCTGATACCTCATTAAGTGATTCATTATCCGATAGGTATTCAAGATCAACGAAAGCATGTAGTACCCGATTGATTAATGAACATAATTCGATTAAATATAGATGTTTTAAAAAAACTTCAATGAAATTGATTTTCAGGCAGACCTTGCTTTATCCGATCTTGAATTAGTCGAGCACGTAATAAATCCGAATGAATCCTTAGCTTATTTTACTCCATTTTAAATACTATCTTGAAAAAGCATGCACCAATAAAAGAAAAAACGTATCAAACGTGAACACCGCCCGGAATGGTTTACTGATGAGATAAAATATCTTATACATGAACACGATTACTATCATAAAGTAGGGGAAACATGAACAATACAAATTGCCGCAGAAATAAAATAAACATCAATGATTTAAAAAAAGTAAAAGATTTCTTTAACAATGCTATTAAAAATAACAAAGACCCGGCATTTTTATGGAAAAATTTAAAGGACGTTTTCAAATCTAAATAAAAAAGGTTGTATTACAATGCCAGACAGACTAGTGACAGGTAATAAAGAAATTTTACGGAACTGTTAATATTATAAATGAATTAAATAAGTATTTTGTCAATATCTCGAATGTCATACATAAAACAAAGTTTTCAAATACAAATTTTTCAAAATTGAAAGAAACTTTAGACCAAAAGCTAATACATCATGAATTTAATATTGAATTAATTACACCGTTGATGTAAAACTTATTATTGAAAAACTGAATATTAAAAAATCTACAGGATTAGATGGAATTGGACCAAACATCATCAAATATTTGTGGAGATTATATTACACCAATAATTGCATCAATTATCAATAATAGTATTAAATCTAATATTTTTCCCAGATGATTTAAAAAAAGCTCGAGTTATACCTATTTTTAAATCGGGGGATAAGAATGAAGCAAATAAACTATCGACCGATATCAATTTTGTCAACTATATCCAAAATATTTGAGCGCCATATTGCCAAACAAATACACTCATTCTTTGAAAAAACGAACATTATTCATAATAAACAATCAGGATTTCGAAAAATCATTCATGTAATACTGCACTCATAAGTTTAATAGATACTTGGTTAAAAGATGTTGACAGTGGAAAAATTATAGGGACTGTATTTTTAGACTTAAAGAAAGCCTTTGATTTGGTTGACCATGAAATACTTTTGCATAAACTTAAACTTTATCATTTTTCTGAAAATGCCGTTTAGTTTTTTATGTCATATCTTTCTAACAGAATACAACTGGTTAAGATAGGTGATCACAATCTCAGACAATGAAAATAATTTCCGGTGTTCCACAATGCTCAATATTAGGACCTTTATTATTTCTAATATACATAAATGACATAGCTTTCATTGGTAATGATATGAAAATTGATTTATACGCAGACGATTCTACTCTTTATGAGTCCGGAGAAAATATATCAAAAGTAGAAATAAAACTTCAAGATCATTTAAATAACATTGACAAATGGTGCAAAATAAATAATATGGCCTTAAATCCAGATAAATCAAAATGTATGGTAATAGGAACAAGACAGAAAGTAAATATTATGAGAAAATTAATTCTTAAGATAAATGAAATAGCTTCTGAAAATGTAACTGATCAAAAAGTCTTGGGTATTTGCATAGATAACAACTTAAAATGGCACTTGCAAATTGACAATGTTTGTAAAAAACTTAACGGAAAAATTGCCTTATTGAAAAAAAATAACGTATTTTTTGCACTTTTGATATGAAATTATTGTTTTACAATGCATATATATTGCCCATTATGGACTATTGTTGTATTATATGGGGTAAAGGAAACACAAACTACATAAATAATGTTTGTAAGTTACAAAAACGAATTGCTAAAATCATTTTACAGCAACCTCAAAGATCTCCGTCAACAAATCTATTCGAAACTCTTATTAATAATTGGTTACCGTTCCTTGACAGATGTAAATACCACACGGCGGTGCTTGTTTTTAAAACTTTAAATAACATGGCACCGACGTATATGACAGAACTGATGACTTTATCCGACAACAAAATATATAACTTAAGATCTAGGTCACGGAAAGATATTGTATTATGGACAAGACCTAAAACAAATTATATTAAAGACACATTTTCTTATTATGGCATGAACATATGGAACAATATATCTTTAAATATTCGTAATGTTAATAACCTTAAATGTTTTAAAGAAAATACAAAGCATATCTTGATGTTCATATGAATGAATGAGTGAGTGAGTGAATGAATGAATAAATATATGAAAGAACGAATGAACGAAACGAACAAATGATGCAATATACATATATGTTTAAACAAAAGTTGTTTGAGTGCCTGTCGAAAGTATATGAGTTGTACTATTCTAAAAATTACATATTATACATTCATTTTTCTACCTATGCATGTCCTGTTGTTGTTGTTGTTGTTGTTTTCTTTTTCAGAAGGCCACTTTGGAAATAAGATATATATGATTGTTATTGTATGTTCTTAATGTGTAACCTTCTTTAAATAAAGATATTATTATTATTATTATTATTATTATTATTTACATGACCTAGACATTAGAGAAGAAAAAATGAAACGGTTATTACTTAAAACCTGGAAAAAGAGTAATCTTACCTTTGTTTATAGGTTGTAAAAAAATAGAACTTAAAATTGATGTACTGATTGCTATTCCTAGATAAAAAAAAAGATCGTACATAACATGCATTATGGCAGCTCAAACGCTTATATGAATTTAAGTATATTTTTTATTTTCTAAAGTCATCCTTTTTCCTTTGTTCACATAAATAAAACTCCTGTACACGGGGAATGAAATTATGAATTTTGATGTATTATGCTCACTCATAGTATCATTTATGTTGGAATTTTCATATATCTTAGCCTTCTTGTGTTAAAAAGGGAACAGCTTAAAAGAAAATAGATATTCTAATCACCTTTTTAACATGAGATATATACAATTTATAACTATAACCGATAATAATTCAGAAGCTTATTTGAAACTATGATACCTGTGAAACTTGCTTTCTATCTTGCCATCGTAGTTTCATGCCTGACGACTGCTGATGGAAGTGACATTAACAACTTGGCTCCCTCGGACGTTAACGCACAATATCTGATTGATTTAGGAATAAAAACAAATGATGAAAAGCTACAAGCAGTCGGACTTGCCATGAAAAACATTCATAACTTCGATCCTTGTAATGAATGGACAAGATGGTCAATTTGTTCAGCGAAGATTTTCCGGTATTTTGGTATTAAACAGCGGTCCAGAAAGTGTAGCAATGAGACAGAATTAAGCTTGTGCAGAAACCGATGCCCACACTCGTATCAAACTACGAAGCTCGGATATTGCATCAAAAAACATCTATCCAAGATATCACATTCTGAAGCAGAAAAGCAATGCAAGGTAGAAGGTGGAATAAGTTTGGTTCGCCATTGACTCTAAGTTGAAAATTCGAAGACAATTATTAACACTGGTTTCAATATGTTTAACTCGTTTTATCTCCATCGGTGGTCATCGAAAAAACCCATACATTCTCCATGGCTTCTTGAGGACGGATCTAAAATCAAATTCTTCAAATGGGCCAGTGGGGAGCCGGACAATGGAATCACAAAGCTGTGTTTATGCATGGACAATGCTAATGGAAAGATGCATGACATTGCTTGCAATTATGAAAACAATTTCATTTGCGAAATCACTGTGTAAAATTTATTACTTTGAGATAATAACTTATTAATTGAACGAACCGATTTATTTTGAAAGAGAAAGCGGATATCATTGTTATAACTATTTTGTAAAATGAGTCACTGTGTACTTCAAAAACAGTTTAAAAGCCTTTTATAGACAATCATTCGTTATCATTTGACATTTATATACGAAGTCTGTTCGACAGATTCGTGGAATTTTATGGTAGACATATTATAGGTAAAACGATTCAATAGAATTTTTTCACAATACATAAAACAATACTTTTTTAATTAGGGTCAAATATCAAAACATTAATAGTTAACACCATAAAACATACATTGCCGAATGTTTATCGAATTGCCCTCGTGTACTACTTTTGATGATACAGTTTTAAATA